TATAGTATTTTAGAGTTGAAAATTAATACTCCAACCACTAAACTACTATAATTTTTTTATAATAATTTACAAATAAATTATATTTATATACAAATAAATATATATCCGTGTAAATATATAAATACAAATATATTTATATATTTTTATGTTGGATGTGAGGGCGCGATCGAGGGTGAAAGTGAGATTGACTCTCGTTTGAGTGAAAATACGTTAAAGCTCACGTAAATTCACTCGTTCAAGCCTAGCTTGAGCGAAAATTGGTATTTTTCGCTTGAGCGAATGTGTCACTTGAGCGAATGATGCGTTTTTCAAATTTATTTTATATCATTATATAAATAAATTATAAATATTATATTCTGTCATTAAATTACAAACTCATATATAGAGACTCGCTCACAAATTTGGCATTAAATTTTGAAAACCCACTCGACACACACTTTCACCTTCGAGCGTGCCCTCACATCCAATATATAAATATATAATTATATAAATATATCAAAATATATAAATATATTTGTATTTATATATTTACACGGATATATATTTATTTGTATATAAATATAATTTATTTGTAACTTACTATCAAAAAATTCGAGTAGTTTAGTGGTTGGAATATCAGCCTCCAACACTAAGGTACTCGGGTTCGAATCTCGTCGATGACAAAAAAATAATTTGGTAATGCTTTAAAATTAAAAAAAATATGATAAATAATAAAAATATAATATAAAAGAGAGAGGGACCTAATAAAAATATAATATAAAAGAGAGGGGATTTCTAGATAAATAGAGGGGTTGGAAGGGTTGGAAATAAATAAAAAAATTTAATTTGAAAAATCGGACTTTCAACGTCGGTTCATTAATGACGTTGAAAGTCGAACTTGCAACGCGTTGAAAGTTGATACAACGCTCGGTCCTGGAACCGACGTTGAAGGCCTTTGTAGTAGTGTTATTAAAATATATATTTAAAGGTTTGTCTCCGGTTGTTTTATATCAAGACTCATTTAGGATAAAAAAAATAATACAATTTGTAATTTGTATCCCTACACATATTTGTACCGTTTAGGAATAAAAGTGTTCCGATCTCATATATATTATGATATCATCGTTAATATCAATTTCTATGTTTGAAGATATCGTCTGTTTTAAAACTTTTATCTACTACGATTTTATCCTTAAAAAATGTCTATGTGGATTAAGAGAAGATCTGTATATATAAACTATCTTAACTTCAACTCCTAAACGATACAATACTCATGAGAGTATCAAAATAATATTGTTTGAATTTATTTTTGTAATGGTATCAAATTGATATATTGACTAGTGGATAAGATTTTTTTAAAGTATGTTATTTTTTACATTTTATATTAAATTATAATTCAATATCAATGAAAAAACATAAATTTATGTTAGACAAAATAATTAATGTTAATTTATGTTAATAGTATAGATAATGGCCGTTAATTTAAGTTAAAAAAAATATAAAAGAACAGACGCGAATAAGCTTTAGAAAATAAATAAATAAATAAATAAATAAAAATTATATATATATCTATATATATATATATATATATTGAATGTATAATACGTCGAACTCGATATTAGCCTAATTTTACTCAACAAAATTCAACGTAAAATCTTATGTTATTATTTTAAAAATATTATTATATTTTTTAAATCAATTATTTAGTATAGAAAGAAGTGATGTAAAAAATATCATTTGCAGTAAGAATGTAAAGGATCACTATTTATATATATATATATATATATATATATATATGTCTGATGAAGCTCAAATATTTGAATAGAAAATAATAATTTGAAGGGTTTAGGTATATAATAATAGACAATAAGGCCCAACTAAATTTGCTTAATTTTAAAATGAAATACTTTAATTAGCTTAAAAAAAACCACCGGTGCCAAATTTGAACATATTCCAATCTTAAGTGACGAAAAATGCAATTAAGAACAATAGCCTTAAATAATTGACAATCTAACCCATCAAACTCGCCAAGCATATAATTGCAAATTATAAAGCTTTTGACTACATGCATAGAATTTTTATTTTGGATAAAACATAGGCATGAAAGAAAGGTTTATTTTAAAACACCTCCAAAACTAAATAAATATTTAAAGAATTTAGTTTTCATTAGTTACTTAATTACACATAGGCCCAGTTACAATAAATTTAATTGTCCATATTTATTTATTGCACATTATTTTTTACCTAAACCCACTCCAGAAACCCAATTCAAGTTTCCCATATTTATAAATCATTTCTATCACCTAGTAAGTATAAAAATTAATTCATATTAATTTTTATACTTACCATTGACCATGTGAAAATGGCACATTAATTGTTTGTTAAAAGTTCTCGAAATAATATTTTAATGATGTCAATACATTTAATTAGTGTTTGTTCTTATTGTTATTATGCTTTACTAATTCGTTAGTTTTGTTTGCTTCGGAACAAGTTTATATTGAGTTATGTTGTTTTTTATTCTTTGTTTTCTTGTGAATTACTCTTTCTCTTTATTATTTTATCTTGTCTTAATATTGAGTTTTATATAATAAATTTCCATCGCTTTAAACTTCTGTTTATTATTTATTTATTTAAATTCCGTTTATATTAGTTCAATAGAAAAAACAATTTAATTTTTTGGTAATAATTTAATAAATAATTATCTTCGTTAAAAATGATAGCCAAAAATTATTTAAAACTACCTATGTAATTTTATTATTTTTAATAATTTAGTTACTTAGAAGAAATGCTACAATTTTGTGTTATAAATGACACCCTAAGATAAAAACAATTTTGTAATTTAAATATCGAAGAAGGCAATGATTTTCTTACAAGTTATTTAAACAATCAATGTTCTTTGATGTGTAAACTTTTATATTTGAATATTTTGGAGAAAAAAATATCATAATCATCTTCAATAATTGTTATAAATAAAAGAGTCTATGAAAACATCTTGTATAAACTCATCTAATGAGTACTACACCTTGCAATTTTAGATGTTTTGATCATCTTAATTATAAGATGATATGCTTTATACTTGAATTCATGTGTATGATTTTTTATATTTAAGCATATCTTAAACTAAAGTTATTGAATATAATACTTAATCATATTTATTAATATCAAAACTCATGTGTATGAGTTGTCTAGTCTATTAAAGATATAAATTTAGATCGTCTATAACATTTGAATATAACAACTAAATGAAGTTTATTTACGACTAACAAAGCTCAATGAGAGTATACTCTTCTTAACATAACTTTTTTTTAGTTGTAAGATTTGAAAATTATTTATTTCTCACACTTGGACACTACTATTTTTCAAATACGATTTTTTTTATTTAAAGGAATGAAATGTCATCTAATAATAAATCAATTATGATTTAATTTTTAATAGCTCAATAAAATATATTAGTTTTTGATAAAAAAATATTCTCATTAATAAACTTCACAATAAATCAAAAAAGTAATAATATTTATTAGGGTATTACAATTCTCATAAAAAAAATATTTTCTATCTTTTTAATTTTAGAAAATATTTTTATTAGTAGGAACAATATGTCCTTTAAGACAATTATATAATTATTATTTTAGTTTTAAATTTTTTTAGTGAATTCGATTTTAGTTTGTCAAAAAAAAAAATCTTAATTAAAAACAATTATTTTAGTTCACAAATAACAAATTAGAAAAATAAATCTCACGAACTTGTTTATTTATTGTTTAAAAAAATAATTTTTAGTTTTTTTAATTTTTAAAACTAAAAGAAACCTTTTTAGTAATTATTTTGTTAAACAGTTTTTGAATTTTAGTTTTTAAAAACTAAAAAACCAAATTTGATAAAAAGTATTTGTTATTATAGTTTTTCTGGTTTTAATTATATCATTGGTATTTTATCCAATAATTACATTGAATTATTCATTTTTATTAATATAAAATTATCTAAATCATTTTTCAAATTTCATTACAATTTTTTATACTCATCTATACTTTTTCTGTATAAAAAGGTTTTTAAAAATAAAATTATCAAACAAGTTTTCTTTTTCAACTTATTTAAAAAAATAAATTTCAAAATTAATCTCTATAACTAATTTAAAAAATTAAAAAAGAAACTAAATCAAACAAACCCTAATATGACACTTTTCTAAATTCGACAGATTAAAATAATAAATTTCCAAATTTAAGAAATTAAATAAAATTTTAAATTTGAAAGACAAGATTTATCTTAAATTCTAAAGAATAACATATATTTAAAGTTAATTTAATTAATTCTCGTATCAACCGTTATTAAGCACGAGTTTCCTAATAATTTGTTTCTCTCAACAACTCCCACGTGTCTTTGTATTTTAACATCTCACAATATACAATAAATCTATAAACACATATTATTAGTTTTTACATTTAATTTATTTACTTTTTCATATTCTGAAGTTAAAAATTAAAAATTAATATCAAATAGAAGAAGAAGAACAAGAGCCTCGTATGCAGTGCTCGCCTTCCTTCCTACTTTATAAAAAGTTTGACCCGTCGCCATATTACACATGCTTCTCCACATTCCTCTGCTTTTTTTTTTTTTTTCATTTAACACTGACATGACACAATTCCGCCATTTTTTCCGTCTAAGAAACTGACACAAATTCTCTTTCCCTTCAACTATTTCTTTATTTTTCTCTCTACTCTCTGCTGGCTGGGAAATGCTCTGATACTAAGCTTTGCCACTCCTCTTCTCACTCTATGCATGTATGGAATCTCACACCTTTCTTTGCATTACTATATTATAGTACTTGTGATTTTCTTTATTACTCTCCTCCAACCACCCAAATGCTTCTTTCTGCAATTTTTCATTCATATAGGTGGCGTTTCTTTTCCTGGTTCCCAAAAGATAAAAAGGCTTCATTGTTTTGTATCCTTTTAAATAATCAAAGTGGCATGCTTTCAGCCCCAAAAGCCCTTCTTAGATCTCCTTTCTTGTTTAAAGCTCCTTTCTTAAAGGTTGTGAAGACCAATTTCTGAAAGTGCTGCTCTCTGAACTTTGCCTAATGGTTCATCAACTACACTTTGCTTCTTCCTCTTGTTAATATATTCCTGCTTCCTTCCAAACTCACCTTTGTTTGTTTCCCCCTCCAAAACAACACTATAGGGCATCTCATTAAGTTCACTCTTCACAATCTCCTTGCAATCTGGCATAAATTGTTCAAGGCCATGCATGATGTTCACTCTTTTCTATCCTCTCCCTTCCCAGGCAAATTAGTTAAAATTTGACTTCTGAGGTTTGTTCTAAACGCTGTTTATCTTGAAGCTTAATTAGTCCTGTTTGTAACTCTACTTAGGCTTCATGTTCTTGAGTCCCACATGAAGAAGAATCAAATAAACTATTTAACATGGAATTCAAGTTTTGAAATTCCTCCACATACACAAATTTCAAATTCTTTTATGTTTATTTCCACTTCTGTTAACATCAACCACACACAAATATGCATTCACCAGTGGCCACAGTCCATTCTTATTGTCTGTCTGTGTCTTCGAAAGGGCAGTTAGCTAGAGCAAGCTTTTAACTGTGAAATTTTACCATGACAGTAAACTTGTATTAGTGCATGTAGCCACTCTAGTGTTTGAATATTTAAGGTGGCTAGGTTATTAATTACAGACTAGCTAGGTGCAGTTGATGCATGTCTATAATCCTTAATTGAAAGCCTGCAGTAACAGTATTATACCTTTGTGTGCAGGGAGAATAGAAGAGGTAAAGTGAAGGTTGAGTTCACATTTCATATTTAATACACTGTTAATATAGTTGGGTTGGAGCACACTCATAGCAGAGAGGCATTAATAGAGAGATAGCGTAAAGCAAAAGGTTTGCTTCCATGAACTGCTTCTCTTGTTCTGTCAAAGTTAAATTGGTTCTTATTTTTCAATTTTTTTTACACCTAGGCTTCCACTCTGCAAAAGTCTATACCCCAGTGATTATGTTTATGGATGAATTTGTGGATGTGAAATGGTTGTTGTGGTGTGGATGGGTTGATTTGGGTCTCACTTTGTCATGATTGCGATATGGGTTACCTCCACTGCTATTTTCGGCCATTTCCAGACTCATAAATACATCTCTAAAAAGAAAAAAGCCACAAACACCATTCTGCAGAGAATAATTGAGGAAAAAAAATCATTACTTCACTTCTTTTTTGTTTTCTTTTCCCTTCAAGTTTTTAATCACTTTTTTACTTTATAAAATTCATATATTTTATTCTTTTTTATTTTATTTTAAATAATTGTTTATAAAATAAAAGACTAAATAAAAAATAGAAAAGAGAGAGAGATTAAGGTAAACTATATATAGGAGTTTGTTCCAGAATAAGGGTTGAATTTCATTAAGTCACAATTTTTTTAAATATAGTTTAAATGAAATTATTAAATTAAATTTGAAAATTTTTAGTATAAATTATTTTTTATTATAAGTTTATTAATTTTAGTGATAGTTACAGAAAATAGTTTCTAATTTTAGTGAAAACTTTTAGTATAAATTATTTTTTATTATAAATTATTTCTGATAAAACATTCATTTCAATAAATGTTATCCTTTTCTGTAGCTTCACTATAATAATATAATGTCGGTTACTTGTGTTCTCATTATTAAATGAACAATTTAATATAATATAATATAATATAATTAATTAAAGCGGCGTAGCAGTTGAAAAAATTAATACGGTTTTGTACTTATTGGTTAAAGAGATATTAATGTAATAATAAAAAAAACTTTTTAATGTAATTAGAAAATATTTTGTGTACTTCATAATTGATTTTGAAAATTTAAACAATAATATAGAAATATAGACACTTAAAACATTTTATTTTCAAATTTAGTTTTATAAATAATTTTCCATTTTAAAAATACTTTGTAAAAAAAAAATATCCATTCACTACTATAGTAAAACGTATAGACTAATATTAACTACAGAAAGTGAAATTGCCAAACATAAAATTGAAGTTTAAAAAAATATATAGAATAATAGAGATTCTAGAACCATCTGATTTTAAAAATATTAAAATAGTTTTAAAAACTATTTTTTTTCTTTAATTGGGTAATGGAAACTGTGATAAGCTTGAAAAACTATAATTATCTAAAAAGCAAATTTGATTTACCTTTTTCTCATTGTTACTCTTGTAACAATGAGCGCAATCCTTTTCTAGGGTTAACTATTTTTACCAAATTTGTTTATTGTTGGTCATAATCTTAGTAGGGTCGTCACAGGGTAGAGATATAGAGCTGAATCGGGTAAAGAATTCAGATTATCTCATCAATTGACTGTGACATTTTCACTTCTCATTTTCCATTTACTTTAAGAAGGACAAAATTTTAGTACATTTTCGTCCTCTGCAAGAGCCATGCTTATTTTTACTCTCGTGTTAACAAAATAAAGAAAAAGTTTAAATAATTTTTTGGGATTTCTAAAATTTAAAACTGAAACTAACTATCTGGTTTGATCTATCTTATATATTTAAAAAATATTTTTTAAAATTCTAAAACTATAAAGGATGTTATCTTTTAACATTTAAGTCACATATTATTTTTAATTTTTAAATGTAATAATTTATTTGTTGTGATGTTTATTTTGTTAGCTCTATCAAAATTGTTTCATATTAAAATTGATATTTTAAATAGCTTTTTAATATTTTTATCCTCAACTTTAATATATATGTTAATTTAATCTTTAGAATAATTATGTTATTTTTTAATTAACGATGTTGATATAATTTCAACATTATTACGTACTAACATACATTAAAATATTTTATCAGAACATATTAAAATTAATTATATATTAATAACATTAATTCAATATAATTAATCTGAAGAATAAATTATTAAATGTTATAAATAAAAACACACTAAAAAATGTCGGAATTACTAATTTTAACATATATAACGATTTTAAAGGTATAAAAACTTATTTAATCCTTTAAAAATATATTTTAAAAAAATTTGTCAACTCTTCTTAGTTGACCGCAAAAAACAAAACCCAAATATGGAAAAATTTCGCACTATATACAAAACGAATTGTGATAATTAACAATGGAAAAATAGTTTAATCATTAAATATAAAATAACAGTAATAATAATAATAATAATAAAAAAATACAAGATCGTTGTTGGGAAAGTGATGAGAGGGGGTAACCTACATAAAAAATTTGGAAGCTTTAACTTTTATATCTGTGAATGATTTTCTAGGGATGTTGTCTGTTCCCTGAAAGCGACGGGACACATGATTGTTCTTCATGTCTTTATAAAGATCCCGAATAGTCGATAAGCGTTACCGTCAATTCTGCTTTTCTCAGCACCACATTCTTTCGCATCCAAAAGACCGAAGCCGAACGGAACAGGCCCAAAATCTTTGTTTTTTCGGCCACGCATGACAAACTTTGCAGTGTTTTACCCTCGCTTGCACGTACAACTGACATTGTTTTTTGGTTGCAGCCACCCGTTGCTGCTGCCAACTTCATCTATTGCATTACACCCTGTCTGGATTTCCAAGCACAACCAAGCTTCTCATTTTGTTTTAGTCTGTTGTCTCAGTAGTCGTCACTGGCTTAGGCCATGTTCTGTCGCTGTAGTTCAACTTGGCAATGAGTTAAAACTTTTTTTTTTTCTTTTTTCTGGTTTCTGCAAAAGGGGTCATACATGCAACCTTACAACCTGTCCCTCCAAGAACTTGGAGTGGAGTAGATTTCAAAAACATCCCTTTTGGGACCACGAATTCAAACCATAAATAAAAAAGCTCCTTTCTTTACATCTCAAATAATTAACCATACCACCACACACACCCATTTTGTCTCTACCCTACGCCTATCGCCCTATGGATATGCAACCTATGTATGCTTGTGAGCTAATGGGGCATATGGAAAATTTTCTAGTGGTACTTAGTGATAAATTAGGCACCAAGAGTTCCAATGGCTTCTTTGTAAAGTGGGGATTTGGACAGGTCCAGTGGGTGTGAAAGAAATGCTCGTGGGTTGTCCGGATCACACACTCAATGAACCTTTCTGAATTCTTCTTTGTGGGGATCATTCAAATTGTACATGGTGAGAAGAAGACAAAACTCTATTTCGTTGTTTACAGTTGCATGCATAGCCTTCAAAAATTTTTAAACTACAGATTAATTAAGTTTAATAGGCATCCTTCTCCTAAGTTATAGATTATTTTTATAATCTCAATAAATTTATCATATAGGACAAGTATGTAGGGTGACATGTTAAAATTAAAAAAAAAAATGAGAATTTATTGTAGTTAGGAAAGTATATATAGGCTGTTTGCATGTAGATATATGCACGTCACTTTATTTATCATCCCCATCTTTTCAGAGAATATACAGCGCCTAGGGGAAGAGGAAAACACTGTCTGGATTTGATGTTATGCCATCCTCCCCTCCTCTTTTTCTCCTTTTCAGCCGTTACAAATTTTCATTTCTTTCCCACTCTTTGTACTTTCTATTCTCTTCCTTCAAGACCGTCGCATAATCTATAAGCTAAGGCATGGTTTGTTTGTGAGTGAAACGTGAAACTTGTTGTGCCAAAAAAAACATTTGGTTTCTTTTTCCCAGCTGGAATCTGTCTTCTTCCTACTTCCTACTTCCCCCTTTCCTAACAGACAAACATAAGAGAAACTTGCTTCTGTGTGTTTTCCACAGAACTAATCTGCCAAGTGCAAAATGAAGGATCCAGGGGAGCATCTACTGAAGTCTAGAAGGCCTCTTCACAAACCCACAGAACCTAGAAGAAGTTGCAGGAGAAGGAGCAAGTGCAAGCCAGAGAAATCACAAGAAACAGAACTTGATCGCCAGCTTGCTTCCTCTGCCACCTGCAAGAGTCTTGTGTTTCATCAAAGACCTGGCTATGGGCAACTTGGGACCAAGTGTCTCGTCAAAGCTAACCACTTTCTTGCTGATATATCAGTATCTGACTTGAGCCATTACAATGTAAGCCTAATCTAATCTACTGCATGGATTGTTTTATTTATATTTATAATTTTTTTTTTCATGAGAGTGGTTAAAAAAAAAAAGTTTCTTCCAAAATAATAAAATCAGGGAATTGGAGAAAATATGAACATCTCGACATTGCAGCAACTTGTTTTGGATTATGAAAGGTTGGCCTATAATTATTTTGACTCACTTTGTTGTGATTGATGTTTATTAAGGTTAAAATAACACCTGAAGTCATCTCTCGTAAAACAAACAAGGCTATCATATCAGAGTTGGTGAGGGTTTACAGGAATACTGACTTAGCCACGAGGCTCCCTGTGTATGACGGAGGAAGAAACCTTTACACTGCAGGTTTGCTTCCTTTTACATACAAAGAGTTTAATGTAACATTGAGTGAGGACGATGATGCCACGGGTGGTACCAGGTAATTGTTCAAGTCACCATGTTCTCTTCAAGAGTACTTTATTTTGTTCATAATCATAACTGATCCTTGACTGTTTCTAAGTTGCAACCAACGTTTGGATTGGTGGAATGTGAGTGTCTTAAGGGGTTTCAAATATTTTGTATCAGGGAAAGAGAGTTTAAGGTGCTAATCAAGTTTGCAACTCATGTTAGCATGCATCAGCTACGTGAGCTTCTAAGTGGAAAGCAAGTGGACAATCCACAGGAAGCTCTAACCGTCTTTGATATTGTGTTAAGGGAGCTTGCGGCTCAGAGGTGCATTTGTGGTTGTTCTTTGAAAATTATTTGTTGCCTACTTTTGTACAATTGATTCTGATAATATTTCTTGTTTCTTATGGCTAATGTGCATGTTCAGTTACGTGTCAATTGGGAGGTTTCTTTATTCTCCGGATGTAAGAAAACCACAGCAGTTGGGTGGTGGCCTTGAATCGTGGAGGGGCTTCTACCAGAGTATAAGGCCTACTCAAATGGGATTGTCACTTAACATAGGCTAGGCTTCTGCTTATAATAACTAATAAGCTTCAATCCTTTGCTTTCCTTTATCATTGATGTTCATTCAGTTATGTTTGATTGCATTCAGATATGTCATCAATGGCTTTTATTGAACCACTACCTGTGATTGACTTTGTTGCTCAAATTTTGGGAAAAGATGTGCACTCAAAGCCATTGTCGGATGCGGATCGTGTCAAGGTATGAATATTGTAATTTGGAATCCTTGCAATCATTGTTCCCACTATAAATGTTGTTTTCTGGGAAACTCTGCAATCATTGTTCCACAAATACTATGAATGTTATTTTATGGAAAACTATGCAATCATTGTTCTACTATACAATTCATCAAGAATGAATGACGTAATAGCGAAAAGTCTCATAAGCAAGGCTTTAGAAATGGTCTGTGATCGTTTCAAAATTTGGGGGTCTCTGGGACTGACTACAATTGTGGCCACATCGGCGGCATTTTGTCTGCAATTTTCTACAATATCAAGGATTGTAACAAAACGACAACTACAGTTTAAAACCTTGCTTATAAGTTATCAAGTAATTTCTCATTTGCCAATATGCTCTTACTCTAATGGCATTGGCATGATCAATCACTGACTTCGGTATGATCTTGTGAGGTCAGTAGTCTTTTGCTTAAAGACATTGTTTAGTGCCATAGAAGATGATTGATCAACTCCCAGCCAAACTTTTCTTTTCTACAAAAAGGAAATGAGCAGTCTTTCCTCCAAATGGCTTAAGCTCATAATTTTTCAAGTATACCTGCCAAATGTTGAGATTCATGATTAAATCTTTATTGAAGTTCCTTTTTTCGGTTATTGTAGAATTTAATTGGTGATGTCTCTAGCTCTCAAATTAGAGAAGCATTTAAGTAATATCTAACGAAAATGTGTGATCTGTCACTGGCAAACAGATAAAAAAGGCCCTAAGAGGTGTAAAAGTTGAAGTTACACATAGAGGAAATTTTCGAAGAAAGTATAGAATATCAGGACTGACTTCACAACCTACAAGGGAGCTTATGTATGACTTTTCTACCTTTAGAAACTTTTACATTTTACACATATCCTGCTTTGAAATGATTGTCTCTTTTCCCACTGAACAGTTTCCCACTCGATGAACAAATGAATATGAAATCAGTAGTTGATTATTTTCAAGAAATGTATGGATTTACAATCAAATATTCTCATCTACCTTGCCTTCAAGTAGGAAGCCAACGGAAGGTGAACTATTTGCCCATGGAGGTAATCTTTGCTTTGAATTTAATAAAATTGCTCGATTCTATTCTACCTTTTTCCATAGAGAATTCATGTGAATTTTGTCCCAGGCATGCAAAATAGTTGGGGGCCAGAGATATACGAAAGGGCTAAATGAAAAGCAGATTACTTCTCTGCTGAAGGTCTCATGCCAGAGACCCCGGGAACAAGAGGCAGACATTTTACAGGTTATATTATCATACCCTCCACCCTCTTCCCTTTTTTATACATTTTTAGTTTAGAATCAATTAGAGATTGTATAGTTTAAATAGGTCCTTCTCATGTATGAAATTGCAATCACGGTAACTTCATCCTTTATAGTCGTGTGAGCTCTTCCTCTTCTAACATAAAGTTTGTGGTCTGCTTGCTTTATTTATCTAGAGCTTGTCTATTTACTTGCAGACAATGCAACAAAACAATTACGACAATAATCCGTATGCAAAAGAGTTTGGCATCAGCATAGACAACAAGCTTGCATCCGTGGAGGCTCGGGTTCTTCCACCACCTTGGGTAATCATCTCTTAAATTGTTTACCATTGTTGTTTACTTTTTTCCATTATGTTGATAGTATATTTTGGTTCTTTTACTTATAGTTGAAATATCACGACACTGGAAGAGAGAAAGAATACTTGCCACAAGTTGGTCAGTGGAACATGATGAACAAGGTGAGCTCAGAGGAAGAAAGTTGTTGTAACTCTTTTGATGAAAGAAAAGAAAAGAAAACTACTTGTTCCTGCCCGATTGAAACTCTGGTAATTTTAATGCAGAAAGTAATAAATGGAAGTACTGTAAGATATTGGGCATGTATCAATTTCTCTCGAAGTGTACAGGAAAGTACAGCTCGTGGATTTTGCCAACAGTTAGTTCAGATGTGCCAAATCTCAGTCATGGTAAAGTTTCAAATGTTGCCCAAGCCTTGTTAAATGAATTCTTTTTAGGGACTATTTATTTAGACTGCACTCGATACTCTTTCAAATTATAAATTATCTTTCATTGTATATCTTTATTACACTTAATTACATTCATTGTCAATATGTAATGTAAACCCATTCTTGTGTTACCTAATAGTTTTAGCTTTTGGGAAATATCAGCGTGTTTACCACCAATTGGTTTGACATTTGATCTTTATTGTCCACATTGTTCTCATAAAATGTTGAATTTTGACATGGAAGGTTGACTTATGCATTATATTATTTATCCACGCTTCAAGTCAAAGGGCTCTTGCTTGAGAGGGCATGAGAGATGCAATATAGAACCTCTTACATGTGTTCACCTAATGGTTATTAGGAAGTTGGTTCATGACATGCATGGCACAATACATAATATTTAATCCTTTTAGTCCATCCCATGGAAAAAAGGATTCAGTGTAGTTGACTGTTGTGCCCTTTATATTCACATTATTCTTTTAATATTTATCAGGAATTCAGTCAGGACCCTGTGATTCCTATATATTCCACAAGACCAGATCAGGTAAAGAAAGCTTTGAAGTATGTACATTCTGCTGCTATGGATAAGCTTGGCGGGAAAGAGCTAGAGTTGTTGATTGCCATTCTTCCAGACAATAATGGCTCTCTATATGGTATGATTCTAAGTCACTCTTCCATTTGCATTACTTCATAATCATAACTAAGCTGTTACCGGTTTGTAATTACAGAAATGTTGAGGTAATGGTGCCTTGATGTTTCTTCATTTTGACATTTTTTTCATTTCTTATGCCTGTAATATGGTAATGCCTCATTCCTCTTGAATATGTTTTTTTTCTTTTTCCTGAAAGATTCCTTTATTAACATGGTTTCAACAAAAAGAGATGCTTAGCATTTCTCCATTATCTATATTTCATTCCAGTTTATCTGTGAAGAAAAGTTTCACGTTTGCATTATAAAGAAACAAACTCTTTATTCAGGTGATCTCAAAAGAATTTGCGAAACAGATCTGGGGTTGATTTCTCAATGCTGCCTTACAAAACATGTATTCAAGATCAATAGACAATACCTAGCAAATGTGGCACTGAAAATCAATGTCAAGGTCCGCTATTAATTCTTTGACCATTCTTTACTATCCAAAGTGACAGGCTGGCTACATGCTACACTAAAATCTTTACTTTGATCTCGTAACTCTATATTTTATGATTATTATTTTTATTTTTGCTAAAGTAAATTATTTATTCTTGCAGATGGGAGGAAGAAACACAGTACTGTTGGATGCTTTAAGTTGGAGGATTCCACTGGTTAGTGATATTCCAACGATAATATTTGGAGCTGATGTAACTCATCCAGAATCAGGAGAGGATTCTTGTCCATCCATTGCTGCTGTAAGCATTTCCTAACTTTTAATACAACAAAAAGGTGCCCTATGTTTGATATATACTGATTACGGTAATCCAGGTTGTAGCTTCCCAGGACTGGCCTGAAGTAACAAAGTATGCAGGATTGGTTTGTGCTCAGCCTCATCGAGAAGAACTTATTCAAGATCTTTTCAGATCTTGGAAAGATCCACAAAGGGGTGTAATTTATGGTGGTATGATCAGGTACTTAACTGGCATCTCTTCTAAGTTTGTGTCTTTGTATAGGGTCCCTTATTCACCTGATTTTTCTTTAAGGGTCTTACAATATCTTGGGTTGACATTGCTTCAATTTCTTTAAGGGCTCAGGGCCTTTCTGTTTCAGTCATGGTAGTAGATTGTCTTGGAACTCGATCATTGACCACTAGGGAAATTATAATGATTTTTCAGCATTTGTAATTTGATGTATCCAACTTCTACATTTCTAACAGTTCATGCTAATTTGTGAAACTGCAGGGAGCTTTTACTATCATTTAAGAAGGCAACGGGACAAAAACCATTGAGAATAATCTTTTACAGGTAGGAGTGGATCAGATACTGTTCTAGTGATAGTTAATAATGTGGACTTTGGAGTTACTTTAACTACAACGTTATCCAATATAATATTAGGGATGGGGTAAGTGAAGGACAGTTCTACCAGGTTTTGCTATATGAGCTTGATGCCATCCGCAAGGTACTTGGAGAAAGCAATTCAGTATATAGTTATGACTTTAATTAGTATGGCATTCTCCAGTATTTATATTCATTTTGTGTCTAGGCTTGTGCATCTTTGGAACCTAGTTACCAACCACCAGTAACATTTGTAGTTGTTCAAAAACGGCATCACACTAGACTCTTTGCAAACAATCACGACGACAGAAATAGCATTGATAAGAGTGGGAATATCTTACCTGGTAAGTTATTGCTTCTGCCAGATGCTAGACTGTGTTGGTAAGTTGTCAGTATTTTAAGGATATCCGACCTCAAGTGTCTAAGGAATGAATTCAATTGAAACTTTAAAAGGCACTTTGGCATAAAAGTCTTATGGTAATGATGATACTTTGGTAGATACTAAGATCTTTCATGCTTCTGCCCATTCTCCAATTTCATTAACCAGTGTTGTAAATGGTCTGATTGTAATGTAGGTACTGTGGTAGATTCTAAGATCTGTCATCCTTCTGAATTCGACTTCTACTTATGTAGTCATGCGGGAATTCAGGTATGGCAATTGTATTGATGCTACCACATTGGTTAGGACATAGGACTAGAAACCTGTATAAATTGCTTCAATCATTTTCTCATTGTAGTAAATCATTAAAATGCCTAACATATAGTAGCATCAAGTTTATGTTGGTATTTGGCAATTACAGGGTACAAGTAGACCAGCACACTATCATGTCCTCTGGGACGAGAACAATTTCACTGCAGATGAGATTCAGTCTCTAACCAACAATTTATGCTACACGTACATAATTTCCCTATTCATCATCTCACTTTTATTATGCTCTATTTTTAAGATGAAATAACCTTCCTTAACATTTTGGTTGCAGCTATGCAAGATGTACACGGTCTGTTTCTGTAGGTAATTCTACTAATCACAAAACTCTAATATAATCAATAAACAAGTGTTTGTTAGGATAAATTTCTCCAAATGGACTTCTAGAAAAGAAAAATAAGAAGAGAAAATAAAATAAGTTTCTTTATTGGATAAAATTAACTTATGCACAACTTAAAAAAATAAAAATTTAGAAAAGGTATGGGTGAGCTTCTTTAAAAATTAGTTTATGCATAAGTTAATGGTAAACTTATTTCATTTTTTTCTTCTTCTTATTTTCTCTCTAAACAAATGCTTTTAGAGAAGCATGTGCAAACACACATCCTAAGTGATGTTGGTTCCAAATACAAACCATTCATAAATGCAGAGATTTGTTTACACTTAAATTTCTTTGCAAATTTAACTGACTGGTTACGAAGCATGATAGTTACTGTTGCGTTTATGTTGTGTGTGTGCAGTGCCTCCAGCATACTATGCTCATCTAGCAGCCTACAGGGCTCGATTCTACATGGAACCTGATGTTGTTGAGATTACTAAACTGCGAGGTACAAGATCTAAAGAAGGGCCAGTTCGGCCACTGCCTGCTCTGAAAGAGAAGGTGAAGAATGTTATGTTTTACTGTTGAATAGAGAAGGTGAGGAATGTTATGGTTTACTGTTGAATGAGACGGAATAAGAGGCTTCAAAGTAGAGAAACAGCAGCACACATGGTTAACGGAAACTAATTAGAGGTGACAAATTTTTCTATGCTTATAAGCAAATTCTGCATGGAAAATTTTGAGTGTATCATATTCGTAGTTTTTTTCTTAATGCCGTTTTAAGCTAAGGTAATATATCATATGTTGACATGGTTGGTTGACTCGGACAATTTCAGTCAAGTTTGTGTCAATGTTTATAGCATGATGTTTATTCCATATTCATTCCAATTTAAGTAAAGGCCCCCACAATGTGGATCACATTAGCTGTTTATGGGTCCTTCGATAACGTATTATTTAGCTCCAATAAGGTTTTTGAATCAAAGGGAAAAATGTGTGTTGGCATTATTTAGCAGGAAATCTTCAATTTTGTTTTTCCCCCGAAGTATTTCAAATTGCATAATATAAAGAGATTTATTAATATAATAAACCATAAACATGCAATTTTATGTGCGAAAGTGTTGAAATTAAAGTAAGACTACTACTTCTGCAATCGGACACGTTTAGCATACACCAGATTTAAACTTGCGAATTAATTGCATGCCATAATGTTTTGTTTTTATTTTAATGAAAAGGTTAAGCTTTGATTTGAAGTTATAGCAGCTCCCGAGAATGGTAGAAAAAAGTGCTTAATTCTTCTCTTCTCTTGTGGATACCAAAGATTTGTGGTTGCATTATACTAACACCATGTGTATTGCTGCTAATACATAAAAAAAATAAAAATTCAAAGGAATATTATCCTAGAAAACTCAGTTCTAGAATCTTCTTGAGTAATTATTTATAATATCTTATTATATTTTTATAAACAGTGGCAGAATTTAATTAATGATATTGAGGAATATGAAAATGCAAGGTGAGGCGAGAAATAAAATTTATAAATATATTTAATAATTATTAAATTTTTGGGTTCAAAATCATAAATATATTTATAAGATATAAAATTTTCTGGAGTCTATTATTATATTTTCCTTTTTATTTAAGGTGAGATTTTGTTAACACTTAGCGAAAATAAATGATGTAATAAATATTATAGAATATGAATAACACTATAAGAAAATACGGTCAAAAGTTTACACTGATATTGATTTGAGTTTCCATTCACACAACAATTAAAAGTATGGTCATAAATTGCCTAGGATAGACTATTGAAGTCGACATTAATTAACGTCAGATAGACTGTCATAAAATAGCGTTGACTAGGTCAACAAAAATTCATGTTTCTCAAGTTGATGAACAAAAGTAACGTTAAGCGAATACAAAACTATAACTTAATTTTAAAATAAAAATTAATTAAAAAAGTTGTGCCGGTAAAATATTTATATTAATTTCGGTTAAGTTGACGCTTACCTTATTTTTTATTTTTTATTTTTTAATAAATTACTTTTATGTTCACTACTCGCACTAATAGCGTGAACATATTTTAATTTTGCGTTGATTTAGTCGACGATAGCTTTTTATATCAAAATTGGTATTTTGCCACAAGTATCCTAATTTTGCTTTCAGTCCCTTATATCACTTCAACATGGTCCTAGTATTAGTAACAAACGCAGATTCATTTTGAGGTCTCTCATAACTTCATACAAGTATAACAAACAAATCAATGTTATAATCACAAAGATACATAGGTTTGGGGATTAATTACTCAATGATTAGTTATGTTCGGGGAAAAAAAATATACCCTGTTTATGCATAAGAATTAAGTGTTAAACTAGAACATAAGAAAATAACATGTGTAATATTAAAATAATATCAAGAAAATTTCAAAACTAAATGCAATGTTCCATTATTAAGAAGTTATCCACAATATCAAGTCTAACAAGAAACATTTAAAGTTGTCTGCAATTTCACAATATCAAAAATTCACCAACCTCTTCACTTTTAAAGTATAAATACTTTTCTAAACATTTTAATTTACCCAAATAGTTTCATCCACAAATACAATATCTAAATTTTCTTTTAGCAACAAGAAAGTCAACGAATCTACAACTAATAACCTAATAAAGGCACAATCGAAAATCAAAACCAAAAGAAACCAATTCACCGTAAAGGAGAACAATTGCAAAAAGAACCCTAACCAAATCACAATGAAAAATAAAAATTAGAAGAGACCAATCCAACTCTAACCAAAGATCCTATGTATCGTCATTCAACTGAAAGAAACTGAAGAAGATCAAATATAAATATAAAGAAACTAACCTTATAAGTGACCTTGGACTTTGGCGACTAATTGATGAGCAAGATCTCGAAATCAAACTCCTCTGAAGAGAATGTCAACGAACACGAACGAATAACGATAGAGCACGATACAATGATAGTGGAGCAGAATGAGACGGAGGTTATGAGAAACTTATTATGCTCGAGATTTTGTATTCAAAATAATTATCCAAGATGATACATTGCTTTAAACTTCAAAATTAATAATTAATAATTCTTATAAAAAATTTGATAAATTAAGTGCAATAAAAATTTACTTATAATTAACTTAATCTTAAGAAATTTTGCAGAAATCTTTTACCACTAAATTTTGCAAATAAAATCCCAGATTTTTCTTGTGAAAAGAAAATTATAAGAAAAATTATAGTTATGTTTTGTAAAAATATTTTTGAAACAAAATTGTAATTATTTCTCATGGCTAATTTTGTGTATAAAAAAATACAATAAATTAATATTTTTCAGTAGTAGTTTGATTTCTTCTACTATTAATATAATAATTTATTATCAACAAATTGTTTATAAATAAAATTCATTAACAACAATATTAATTGTGATCTTATTAATTGCACTTGAATAAATACGTTAAATAAAAAATAAAATAATATAAAAATATAAAATTTAAATTCAAGATTAAATATTAGTGTAATTAAATTTCACATTTTTAATAAAATAATACTGATTAATTTTAATTAGTAATTTAAAAATATTTTCTCTACATAAATGTCGATTGTAATTTATTTTCGTATAACTTCATATAATTTCATTAAACTTTATTTTAAGATGTATTAAAACTTAATTATGATATAGTTTATTTAATTTTGATAATAAGAAATTATTTAAATTTTTCTAAATGGAGTTATTAAAATATTGATAGATTTCTCTTATTAGAGTATTTGTAGTAAAAAACAAGTTATAATAATAATATAGTAAATTTAAAAATCAACATAATTTCATTTAAACTCACTTTCATGGCATATTTAGATTAAACTTCAGAATTAGTATTACAATTATTTTTTCTATTAAGTCTTTAACAATGTTATATTTAGATTTTGGTCAATCAAGATTGTCATTGACTTTAGGGATATTAGTATTAGGGTTTTGTTTTACAATGCTCACTACTTAAGTTTTTTTTTTTTGTTTTTTTTTTTATTATTTTATTTTTATTTAGACTTCTCTAAATGTAATTACAAAAATAACTAATAATTGAAAAGAAAAATTAGATTTTTTTTGTCTTTATGTTAAATTTTTGTTATCAATCTTATTGAAATTTAATTTCATAATCAACTTATTCTGTTTTAGTAATATTTTTATATTTTGAAGATAGTGTAAAATATTTATACGGGTATCATTTATCTATTTTTATTTATAATTTTATTAATTTATTTGCAAAAATATAATTATTTTTAAACTCTATACGTCATTTATATATATATATATATATATATATATATATATATATTCTTGCATTAGTAAAAATTTAATTTATTAATTTAGCTTATTAGATAAGTTAATTTATAAAAAAAAGTAAAAGGCTAAAAGAAAAGAAAATGGAATTAGAAGTTAAATATATTTCAAAAAATAATTTTAGCTTTTAAAATCAATTAAAAATGGAAAGAAATAATTTTTTTATAAATTTAAACTAATTTATAAATAAAATAAAATAAAATAATATTAAAAACTTTTATAAATAACTTATAAATCAATTTTAGTTTATAAAAAATTATTTTATTTTTAAAAAATTAATTTTATAGTGTCTACTTGACGGATGTAAAAATACACTTATTATAAATTTAAATAAAATATCGTGAGCAAAGGAAGGAGACACAAAGTTAAAACTACAAGCCGACACGATTTTAATATACTTAATTAATGTTAATTTATTAGTGTTGATATAACCAATACGTATAATATATTTAAATTGTAATTGTTTTCTTAATTAATTTTTTATTATAACGTCTATCAAACTATAGTTGAAAGCTATTAAACTATAACTTAACTTCCAAATTCATTAGACATAATATTGTTAACACTAAAATGAGTTGATTAAGCTAATTATGGAAAACACATAGAATGGATAAAGAGCAAGCTAAAATATACTAAAATATTATAAATAGGTATTTTAATGTTTAACTTTGTTTAATGTCGTAATTTTTAACTTTGTTTAATGTCGTTGAACTTGTTGTCTTCTCTTTCATCCTCGCTTAGCGAGGGTATCTATAATGACATTCTATTTCACCTATTTATAATATTGTAGAATATAAATAATAGATATTTTGAGATAATCACCTATTTGTAATATTTTAATGAACTTATACCTCAAACCGTGATTTATGAATTATTATTAAATGCATGTTTTCAAATAGTTAGAATATAAAATAAATATTAAAAGAACACCACATAGGTTAATAAATTTTTACTACATCTCTTTCAACACAACTCTTTATATCTGAAAATGTATATAAAAGTGTGAAAATAAATATTATTTTTATTTGAGTTATCTACATATGATAATTCTAACTAATGTTGTATTCTCTTCTTTTCAACTATGATGATTTCAGTAATTATTAAAGAATCATGGTTAAAAGATTTTTTTAATTATCATTAAAAATTATATTTAATTTTCTTTGATTTTCTCTTTTCAATTACTCTAAGTTTTTCTTTCATCCCATTTTTTTTTCTATCTCATTGGTTTTTTAGGTTAGTAACTAAAAAATAATAAAAAAGGGTGTGACATGGACGTTATCTATCTGAATGGGTGTTGTGTATCATTTTCATATGAATAATTGTCAAATACACTGATTTTAATATGCATTTTGAGATAACTTTACTCGATGGGACACAAGCTAACGTCTATAATAACAGACTATTTTTGTCAACCTTTGATTATGAGCTTTGTCTTTCAAACACCACCACTCCAATCTTTGCCGAGGTCACCCAAATGCCTTTAGTCTATCTTTTAGAGAGGAATCTTCAGTAGTCTATACATACAATCGTGGTTGCTGAAATAGAAAAAATTGTACCCCATCTCTTACTTCATCATTCAAACAGAACTCTCTTTCAGTAATGGAGATGGAATCAGGAGAATGGCGGTTTCCCTTTGATGCCATTTGATGGGGTGACTTGTAATGGCTTAGGTCCCCTCATGGAGCAGATACATTACAACTTGTTTTATTTCAAGTGGAGGACACCAGTAAAGTGCACCACAGAGAAAATGCTTCAAATAATGTTGGAGGGATATTGTCTGCAGGCATATCTGGAAATACATTTTACCCTTCTCTTCACTCTCCATCTTTCACCATGATGCCTTATTTCTTCATCCTCGCTGTTGTCTTCGAAGGGGTCTACTTTGAAAGTGGGGAAGATCGTTTGTCGTGTCGTGTCTTTTGTGGAATGCAGCTTTACCCATATCTGAATCCTATGATGAATATTGGCACATATCCAATAGCCATTGGTCAGGTTATAGCCCCCAACCACATCTATTGCAAGATAATCAGATATTGCTTATTCTCAAGTACCCTCATAAATTCAATTTGACTAGCAGTGCTGTAAAGGATGAAATTAGAAGTTTAAACAAACATGGAAGCTTGAAGTACTTTGACAATGTTTACATTATTCTTAATTGACTCGGTATTCCAGTTATCAGTTTAGTCCAGAATCAATGCCAGGATCTTGTGATGGTGATAAAAACTATTTTCAAGAAGAATGGGAACAATATGTTGTACTCGCATTCAGTGGCTCGGAGTTTTGCAAGACTCTCCAAAGTTCTGGTGAAGTTATTTCAGTGTTGGAAGAATGTAAGTATCAGATATTATTGTACTTTCGACCGGTTTACCGTTGGAAAAACAATAATAATAATAATAATAATAATCCTGATTTTGATTCTAACAATTAAACATAAACATAATCTCATACTGATAAACATGTTGTAAACTGAATGCGAAAGCGTACCTGAATTAGCTATAATGATGATATATTTGTAGAGCACTATATTGATCTTATGGTCTTCCACCTGAAGAGCACCTGTATTTCCCTCTTGATTTTCTCTCTTGATGGGGATAGAAAGAAAGGAACGGGACTGATACTTACGTTCTGTGTGTGCTCCCAAAAGGGGACCACGACCCCTTAAAATAACTAGAATTAGGTTAATTACTTAAGTTTTAGTATTTTCAATTTGGCTCCTCATCAAATTAGAAATTGCTCTATGGTCTCTACACAATTTTATTTTCATGACATATGCCTTTAGCCAAAACTTTAATTTAGTCAGATCACTTTATTATTTGACTTAATAAATAATGACCCTAACACATTTAAATTATATATCATATATATACATGACCCAAATTTTGCCAACAATCTCCCACTGGTCACAAATATATATGTCCTTACAACCTTACAAATGTGTTAGACTTTATGAGCTCAAAATTGCCATTATATTCCTTTAACATACTCCAAAAGTCCTGTCCATAATCATATCAGGATATAGAACCAAACCAGCTTTTCATTGCATCATCGCAACTAAAACCAACAATGATTACTCATCCTAATATAACCAAATGACATGGATTCATCATGAAATGTGTAGCATGAAAAATTACGTGAAGGTGATCTGTACACGTCTATTTTCAACTGGTCCAAACTTTAACTTATCGAGATCGATATAATATCCTTAATGTACAAAGTGTAATGAATGAACGAAAAAACCGCATATCTATAGATAACCAAATATGTCCAAAAATCAATGTATACATATATGAAATTAAACATAGAACATAAAATATATGAAAGTGACTAACTCCCACTAAACCACAAATTCCTCAAACTGTAAAACACCCATGTGAGCAATATGCTCATGAAAGACCTTGGGCGGAAGTCCTTTAGTTAGAGGATATGCTATCATGGAGTTTGTCCTTAAGTGTTCTATGAAAATCTATCCACTTTGTACTCTTTCCTTAACAATACATCTGATTTATTGTCACAATATAACTTAAGTGGTTTTTCAATGTCTTTCACAATTTGCAGCCCTGTGACAAAATTTCTCAGCCATATTCCATGATTTGATGCCTCATAGCATGTTACAAATTCTTGACATCCTACAAAATCTGAGTCAGAAAACCCAGCGATCTCCAACTGGTCTGACCTCCTATATGTGAGCATATAATCTTTTGTTCTCTTTAAATATCTTATGACCCTTTTTGCTGTTTTTCAATGGTCTATTCCTGGATTGCTTAAATATCTGCCTAGAACCCCAACTATATATGCTATGTCTGGATGCGTACATACTTGAGCATAGATCAAACTCCCTACAACTGATGCATATGGAATCTTTTGCATTTCCTCAATTTCCAAATTCCCTTTGGGCACTGATTGAGACTAAACTTGTCTCCGTTTAAACTTGTGATACATACAATCATCAACAATATTCATCTTGAAGCCAAATGAGTTTCATACCTTCTGGTAATGGGACAAGTTCCCAATAACCTTATTGTCTTGCATGGATTTATACTTATCATATTGCTTCAATCCACTTTTGAAAGTTAGAACCTTGTATAGCTTGACGGAAGTTAACTGGGTCATCTTCCATTATATCATTATTTTCCTCATGTTCCTGAAGAAATACCATGTAATCATCCGAAATAGCACTTCTTCTTTCTCTAGTGGATCTCTACAAAGTTATTAGCTCATGATGCACATGTTCTTGAGGATCTTGAGTTTGTTCTTCATGAACAACCAAATCATCTTGAGTAAGGGGTTCATCAACAATGCCTTGTGGAGGTTTTGAACTTACTTTATCAAAAGTAACTATTTGAATCGGTTATGAAATTGTTACCGATTCTTCCTCCAAGATGAAGTTCTTAATCTTATTCTTCCCCCCAAACTCAATATCCTCAAAGAACATAGCAATTCCCATCTCAAAAATTGTCTTTAATGTGAGATAATAAAATTTATATCCCCTGGATCTTTCAGCATAACCAATAATATAACCACTTACTGTTCGGGAGTCCAATTTCTTTTCATTTGACTTATAAGGTCTTGCCTCAGCTGGACAATCCCACACATGGAAATGCTTCAGACTAAGTTGTCGCTCAATCCAAAGCTCATAAGGTGTTTTGGTAGCTGCTTTAGTTGGTACTCTGTTTAGAATATAAGCTGTCGTATTTAGTGACTCTCCCCAAAGTGATTCCAGTAAGGTGGAATGACAAATCATATTCTCTACCATATCTTTAAGAGTGTAACACAAGCTCAAACGTCACGATTTGATTGTGACCTGAGCACTTGTGCCATAATACACCTGAATGAGTATTTTCAATTTTACGTTTAGTACCACGTAATTCTGTATTAAGGGTTTCATTATAGGTGACCACAATATCAAGTAAATACTGATTATCATAAATCAAAAGTGAACCAGTTCCAACAATATCTGAATTAAAAGACAAACTGAACTTATTGTTTCCAAATGAACACAAATAACATAATTTGTCCAAATAAGAAACTGAAACCAAATTTCGTCTAAATGACGGCACAACAAAAGTGTCTTTCAAATCCAAATAAAAAACCAGTACTCAATAACAATTTAAAATGTCCTATAGCTTCCACCTCTACCGATTTACCATCTCCAACATAAATCCATCTTTCAGAATCAATTGGCTTCCAGTAGTTTAGGCAACCCTTTCTTTTCACGCTAAGCATGATATTTATCACATTTCTTCTTTATGTGTCCAGTCTTATTGCAAAAGAAACATTTGTTTTCTTGAGTTTGTTTCTTTTGTTCTGGACCCTTAGCAGCTTCTTTCTCGAGATCCTCTGATCTCTTTCTTTTGCCCTTAGCCTTGGAGGTGCTTGCAAAATGAGCACTTTCTGTCTTGTCTTGCTTTAGTCTTTCCTCTTCTTGTACACAATGTGAAATGAGCTCATTAAGAGACCATTTATCCTTCTGACAGTTGTAAGATACCTTAAATTGATTAAACGTTGCAGGAAGAGAAATCAACACCAAATGAATGAGCAAGTCTTCTGAGAGTTCAAGCTTTAGTGCCTTGAGTTTAAAAACAATATTAGGCATGCTCATAATGTACTCCCTGATATTTCCTTTGCCTTGATATTTCATGGAGATCAAGTTCTGAAGAAGAGTGCTTGCCTCCGCCTTATCGCTTTTTGCAAAGCGCTGCTCAATTTCAGCAAGAAATTCTTTGGCACTTGTGACGTTTTCAGAAACAGTGCCCCTAAACACCTCCGGGATGCCGCGCTTAATGATCATTAGACTCATGCGATTTGAGCGATCCCACTTCTCATAATCTCTTTTCCGTTTAGAGGTACTTGAATCCGTAGGAGTAGGGGTTTGCTCAGTCCTTAACGCAAGATCCATATCCATGCAACCAAGAACAATATCAATGTTCTTTTTCGAGTCCTTAAAATTTGTTCCATTGAGGACCGAAACAGAATTTAAATTAGCAAATACAAAAGCAATTGTAGCTGAATTTAGAACACGAGAAATAAACTAATTATGCTCACATTATATAAAAAATAAATAATATATATTCAAATAGTGGTTTAACCCATCTCAAGACACCCAATGCACCATCAATATCAAGTCTTTGGACGAGTAATATTAACTGCTAGAGGTATCTTGTTGTAATAATCAAACATTGACAATAAAGCACGTCCAACAACAAACCAGTCTTTGGATTGATTTATCATCGACAAAACAAATCCTTATAATTATCACATGTTTATGATTACAAGTGTGTATGCAATTCGGTAAAATATTAATCTTCCTTTGGGCCGACTAATACTCGCATGAATATACACAAACACTAACATTCAATATTTTTCATGAACTGCCCAATTTAAGAGAAGTTACTTTGGTGACTTCTTGACTCAATTTGCTCACAAAAAAATATTAAACTACCAAAAATTGAATATTTTATTTATATAACAAAACCAAATATTTAATATTTGCAAACTAATTCAAAAGAGAATCACCTCATTAGAATTCTACTAAGGATGAACACCTCCCTAAAATCTCATTAGGGATGAACACCTCATTTGAATAAATCAAAGGATGAAAAAAAGGCCTCATCTTCCACCAATACATAAAGGATGAACATCTCCCTAAAATCACACTAGGGATGAAACAAATATAGTTCTGAGTCTCTTTAGCATACTGCTCTAAACCCTAAAAAGGAATTAAACAGTAATCACTCAAACCCTAATTTAACATCAAAATTTCCTTAAATTCCTAGGGGATAGAGGAAATAAAATAATAACAGTCACACATGTGGAAACATTCACCAGTTGCCTAAGATCCTCTATGTTGGGAATTCCCCAAACACCACCCTCAATTCCAAACTCATAAAATTAAATAAAAACAAAAGATTCAAAAAAGAACAGAGAACCCAATACAAGAAAGATTGAAATTTGAAACACTATTTCTTTCTCAGTAAAACTTGAAACTTAAACTGAAACAAAGGGAAAAACGAAGAAGAAGAATAATCCATAGCTTCCTCCACGGTTCCATCAGCAAACAGAATCAGATTGGGGATGTTACCCCCAAATTTAAATTTTAGGGTTCACAAAAATTAGAGATTATTCTCCACTTAGGGTTCATAAAATTGGGTAATTTGAATGGTTTAAAACAAAATTAATCCTAATTTTCATAATTAGGGTTCTATAAATTAAACAGACATGAATCAAATATGGGCGGCTCTGATACCAATTGTTGGAAAAATAATAATAATAATAATAATCCTGATTTTGATTCTAACGATCAAACATAAACACATAAACATAATCCTATACTGATAAACATGTTGTAAACTGAATGCGAAAGCGTACTTGAATTAGTCATAACGATGATGTCTTTGTAGAACACTATATTGATCTTATGGTCTTCCACCTAAAGAGAACTTGTATTTCCCTCTTGAGTTTCTCTCTTGATGGGGATAGAAAGAAAGGAACGAGACTGATACTTACATTCTGTGTGTGCTCCCAGAAGGGGACCACGACCCCTTAAAATAACCAGAATTAGGTTAATTACTTAAGTTTTAGTATTTCCAATTTGGCCCCTTATCAAATTAGAAATTGCTCTATGGTCTCTACACAATTTTATTTTTATGACATATGTCTTTAGCCAAAACTTTAATTTAGTCAGATCACTTTATTATTTGACTTAATAAATAATTACCATCGTACTCCATAAAGCAGAGAAGCCTCGTGTTGGGAAGTATATGCAGCATTGGCAATGAAACAAACATGTTCTTCCCTCTGCTGATTAATTATGTGCCGCGTCCTGTGTTTCTCCATTTGAGTATTGGTCCATGCGGCTCTTACTTATCATATAATTACTCGATGGTCCAGCCATCAATTTCAATGAGAAGGAGAAATCAGCCATCAAAATTCACACTTCTCAAACAATCATCATTCTTGAAGTATCCAGCTTTGGAAGATGAACAAGATGTGCTCGCTCAGCTACATTTTCTTTCCACGAAACTCAATATTGATGCATATGCATTTTGCAAGCATTGCTTAGGCAAACATAACTCAAGGGCCTTCATCCTTATGGGCGTGTTTTCTTTTGGTCCATTTTTCGGTCCATATGTACCCCGGTTTAGTAAAAATGATGGAGCAAGGTAACCAGCAGGAACTGAAAATTTCACTATTACCGAAATTCTCAATATCTCATTGCATCTTATATTCTGATAGTAATTCGGGCCCCACTTTAGGCCCAAATGAAGTTAATGGGGTAACTGATCCAATGACATCAACAAGAATTCGTAGGGTGCCAAAATACTTAGCTGATTACAAACTGTGAGTAGTGGGGGTATGGGTAAGGGAACATTTATGTATGACGTGTCAGTATTTGAGTGGTTCTGTTATGAGTTTGTTATCACCCTTTCTGTTATATAGTTGCTGGAATAAATGAATGAGGCAGAGAAGAATATTTCTATCATTACTCTATCCTTTTCTGTAGGAGGCCCCTTGACCTCGAATCAAGGCAATTTTCCCTTATCATTTTGGTGCTTTCGTTGAGAGTAATGACAGACCATAACACCCGTTCCAAATCCATCACCAATTTGGAAGAAGCTATTCTCAAACTCACCATTAACCAGAATGACATCACTACCCGTTTGGATGCCATTGCTTCTCAGCTGGCCAGCCACGACACAACTTCTCCCCGTACGGATGCGCGTCGCTCCGATGCTCCTTCATTCCCACCTCACCTCCGTTTGGATGTTCCTCGGTTTGATGGAACCGACCCCATGGGTTGGATCTTCAAAATCTCCCAATTTTTCGAGTACCATCACACACCGGAGGTGGATCGGCTTACGATCGCGTCCTTTTGCATGGAGGGCCCAGCTCTCAGTTGGTTCCAATGGTTACATCAGAACAACATGATACCTTCCTGGCAAGAATTTCTTCACGCTCTCGAGATTCGTTTTGCCCCTTCTTATTATGAGGATCCTCGTGGTTCTCTTTTTAAATTGACCCAAAAGGGTTCTGTACAAGATTATTTGCATGAGTTTGAACGCCTCGCCAACCGCATTGTTGGCCTCCCTGCACCCTTCTTGTTGAGTAACTTTATTTCTGGGTTAACCACGGATATCCGTCGAGAGGTCCAGGCGTTGCAACCGCAGACCTTAACACAGGCCGCAGCGTTGGCTAAACTACAGGAGGACAAACTGGCTGACCAGCGTCGTTCTGTCCGTCCTCGTCCACCACCCTCCCTACCTTATGGATCGTCGCTGCTCCCAACACCGTCGCGCCCACCAGCACCGATTTCCACCCCATCTAAACCACATTACAAAAAGTTGACTCATGAGGAGATGCTGGCTCGTCGTGAGAAAGGGTTGTGCTACAACTGTGACGACAAATTCAGTCCGGGTCATAAGTGCAAGGCTCGTTTCTTCTTGTTAGTTGCAGTGGATGATGCGCCTGATGATGTCAGGATGGAGTCACCATGTTTAGAAACGGTTCCCAGCATGCCTCCTCTGGAAGATGTAGATCTGGGCCAGACTGAAGCTCAAATAAGTTTCAATGTCTTGGCAGGGTTACCAGCTCCTGAAGCTCTTCGCATCTTGGGTCACATCTCTAACCAGCCCACTACTATTCTGGTTGATGGGGGGAGCACTCATAACTTCATTCAAGACCGTGTAGCCCGCTTCTTGAATTTAGATGCTAAACCCACTAACACACTGCGTGTAATGATTGGAAACGGTAGTGAAATTGAATGCCATAGTATTTGTCTAGGGGTGGAATTAAAAATTCAAGCACATAAGTTCGTGGTGGACCTCCATGTGCTCCCTATCAGCGGTGCCGACGTCGTCCTTGGCATCCAGTGGCTCAAAGATTTGGGCCCCATTGTTACTGATTACTCCCAACTCACTATGAAGTTCGTCAAGGACGGACAATTCGTCGAGTTTAAGGCTGATGCCCCTCCTAAACCCAGTAACATTTCAGCCCAACAGGTTAAACGTATCCTTCAAACTCATGGTGCAGCTGGGTTTTTCCACATTCGTATACTCCCCACTACTACCCCTCACCCACCTTCACCTAACACACAAGCCGTCCCTACCAATCCTCTTCCCCAAATTTCAACTCTCCTACACAAATATTCTCAGCTTTTCCAGAAGCCTACATCCTTACCACCCTCATGCAATAGGGACCATCAAATTCACCTCCTTCCCAATTCTTCTCCGGTATCGGTGAGGCCGTACAAATACCCCCATTTCCAAAAGGCAGAAATTGAGAGGCAAATTGAAGAGATGTTGTCCGATGGCATGATCCAACCAAGTCAGAGCCCTTTCTCCTCCCCGGTTTTACTGGTAAAGAAAAAGGACGGTAGTTGGAGATTTTGCGTTGACTATCGTGCCCTTAATGCTATCACCATCAAGGACAAGTTTCCCATTCCCACGATCGATGAGCTGTTGGACGAGTTGGGAGGAGCTTCATGGTTTTCCAAACTGGATTTGCGACAGGGATATCATCAAATTCGCATGTCTCCTACTGACATTCCTAAAACTGCCTTTCGTACACACCATGGGCATTACGAGTATACAGTGATGTTGTTTGGCCTTTGCAACGCCCCTTCCACATTCCAGGCAACCATGAATGAATTGCTGAAACCATTTATGCGAAAATTTCTAATTGTTTTTTTTTATGACATACTGGTTTATAGCAGGTCTTTGGAGGATCATATTCAACACTTAGAACTGACTTTCCAACAACTGATACTGGGCGAGTTCTTTCTGCGTGGATCTAAGTGTATGTTTGCGACGCAACAGGTTGAATATCTGGGGCACGTGGTTTCTGTTGATGGTGTTGCACCAGACCAATCAAAAATTCAGGCAATGCTGGATTGGCCACCTCCTACCACGATTAAGGCGTTACGTGGCTTCCTGGGATTAACAGGGTTTTATAGACGATTCATAAAGGGGTATGCCTCCCTAGCTTCTCCCTTGACCGCACTTTTGAAGAAGGACGCATTCATGTGGAACAGTGAAGCTCAAATCGCTTTTGATACTTTAAAAAAAGCCATGACTGAGGCACCAGTCCTAGCCTTACCCAATTTTGACTTGCCTTTTGTTTTGGAGACAGACGCCTCCGGCTTAGCCATGGGCGCTGTTTTGATGCAGGAAGGTCATCCGATTGCGTTCCACAGCAAACCTTTTTGTCCAAAGCTCATGCAATCTTCTACCTATGTCAGGGAGCTTCATGCCATTACAGCTGCAGTTAAGAAGTGGCGCCAATATCTACTTGGACACTTCTTTACAATCCTTACGGATCATCGTAGCCTCAAGGAGTTAATGTCGTAGGTTATCCAAACTCCAGAACAACAAGTTTATTTGTCAAAGTTGTTGGGATTCGACTATTCCATCCAATACAAAACAGGGAGAACAAATGTAGTGGCCGATGCTCTCTCCCGGCCTTTTGATTTCGGTGACAGCCAACTCTTAGTTTTATCTATGCCTCGTTTCTTGTTTCTTGAAGAACTTCGCAAGACTTTACTCACAAGTGTTGAATTTGTTCAACTGCTCAAGGCTGTTCAGGATGACCAGGATAGTCATAAACACTTCAGTATTCACCAAGGCCTCTTGTTGTACAAGGGCAAAATCTGGTTGAACCACGACAACCCACTTATTCCTGTTTTGTTGGAAGAGTTTCACAAGACTCCACTGAGTGGGCACACAGGGGCTGCTAAAACTTTGTCAAGGCTTCAATATAATTTCTATTGGAAGGGCATGCGTGAGGACGTTCAAAAATTCGTTGCTCATTGCACAACTTGCTTACAAACCAAATATGAGACTAAGCGGCCAGCAGGCTTACTCCAACCCCTCTCCATTCCAGTGGAACCATGGGTTGACTTATCTTTGGATTTTATTACGGGCTTGCCACCCTTCCAAGGATACACAATTATTTTGGTGGTGGTTGATCGCTTCTCAAAGGGTGCACATTTTGGAATGTTACCTGCACACTTCACATCCTTTAAGGTTGCACAACTTTTCCTAGATATGGTTTGTAAGCATCATGGATTTCCTCGCAGCTTGGTTTCGGATCGTGATCCTATCTTCATAAGCAAATTTTGGAGAGAACTATTCCGATTGTGTGGCACCAAGTTGCGTATGAGCACCTCCTTCCACCCTGAAACGGATGGCCAGACAGAGGTTCTAAACAGGGTCTTAGAACAATATCTGCGTTCCATGGTTCACAACAAACCACCCAATTGGGGTAAGTACTTGGGCCTGGCAGAATGGTGCTACAATACTACTAATCATTCAGCTACTGGGATGTCTCCTTTTCAGGTCACGTATGGCAAGGAACCTCCTTCGATCCCTCAATATTTAGCAGGTTCCTCGTCAGTAGAGGCAGTTGATTCTCTGCTAACAACTCGCCAAGACATGTTGAATGCCCTGCGAAAGAAACTTCAAAAGGTTCAGCACCAGATGAAACTAGTAGCTGATGGCAAGCGTAGGAAGGTGGACTATCAGGTAGATGATTGGGTCTATGTGCGATTGCGACCCTACCGCCGGAATTCGTCCGAGGTTCAGACTTATGAGAAGCTGGGCAAGCGTTTTTACGGTCCCTTTCGCATACTTGAGCGAGTTGGACCTGTTGCTTACAAGCTAGAGCTGCCTTCAAATTCCAAAATTCATCCAGTTTTTCACTGTTCAGTGCTTAAGGGTCATGTCGGCCCTCTCCCTGTTCATCATGCTGAGTTACCTACTGAAAACCATGGCAACAACCCAACCATTACCCCTATGGCTATACTTGATTCTAAGATAGACACTTCCACAACTCCTCCTGAGAAATTGGTATTGGTGCAAGTGGCAAGGTTTGGCGCCGAAGACACAACTTGGGAAGATTGGAATGAGTTGCAGCTAAATTATCACCTTGAGGACAAGGTGTCTTTTCCAGGGGACAATAATGATAGTAATTCGGGCCCCACTTTAGGCCCAAATGAAGTTAATGGGGTAACTAATCCAATGACATCAACAAGAATTCGTAGGGTGCCAAAATACTTAGCTGATTACAAACTGTGAGTAGTGGGGGTATGGGTAAGGGAACATTTATGTATGACGTGTCAGTATTTGAGTGGTTCTGTTATGAGTTTGTTATCACCCTTTCTGTTATATAGTTGCTGGAATAAATGAATGAGGCAGAGAAGAATATTTCTATCATTACTCTATCTTTTCTGTAGGAGACCCCTTGACCTTGAATCAAGGCAATTTTCCCTTATCATATTCAATGAAGGATCTTGAGTCTTTAAAATCAATCAAAATAGACAATTTTCACCTTTATTCTTGGAAGGTGTATATGATCCACGAGCTGGTCAAATGCATCTAATTGGTTGCAGAATGGTTTCAAGTATGAGCACCAATGTTGGGCACGACATGGATTGTCTCGTTGATGTTAAGGTTCAGCAGTATCCTCCTTTAACTGGACGATGGCTGAAAAATCCTTCAGTTGAAATGATCGTTTCTAGCCAAAGGCCTGAAAATGACCCTCTTCATTTTAATGCTATAGCTCATCAGACAAACATTATTCCCTACTTAAAGCGTCAAGATGATGTGAGCTTCAGAAAACTCTTTGAAAGAGTTTTTAGGATACTGATTTCATGTGCCCTTGTAGGAATCGTCTTTAGCCAGCTAAGTTACATGAACAGAAACGTGGCTTCCATTCCTCACATATCTCTTGTCATGGTTGCTCAACAAATTCTTGGTTTTTTAGCTGAGTTGTTCAGGGATAGAGATCCTTTTGAAATCAAAGGAATCTGCAGCCAACAGGGATTTATCTCACACTAATTATAAGACTACATTAGAGACCCTATTCTAGTTCCATACTTTGACAATGGTCATTTCAACAGAACTAGCTCAAATTTCTTTTCCATTTATGGAATCACTGGCGTGGTAGTTTCCATCATTATGGTTTTAGTTGCAAATGTTGCACATATTCAACAAAGCTGGAACCCTTGGAAATCATTCGGTCGCTAAATGCAAAATTGCTATTTTGTGTGCCTAATTGTCTTTTATGTGCCAGAGCCAGCAAATCAATTGTGACTTGGCAAATTATTTCTATAATCGATTATTTTTTTCCCCTAACGTGGGAAATCACCGATGTTGATGTTTTCCTATGTAAACGGCTTCTTCAACCATCTGAATCAATGAGAAAATTGGATACGCACTTGGAAAAATAGTTCGATGTTACTGTTGCAATTAATAGTTTTAACTTCAAATGTTAGATACTTTAGTCTCTGTCTATTGTTTTTAATTTCTTCAGTCTATATGAGTTTAGATAATAAAATTTTAAAAAATGTATATACAAGAGAGAAAAAATAAGATGAAAAGGACCAAAATAAATGAATTTTAAATATGAAAATCGAAGGATAAAATTAGTGTAACTATAAATTTTTAATCCCTGTAAAGACAAGTGTGTGAGCTTGAACTTCACTTCACATCACTGCATCAGTTCAAAGACTGAACTTGATCCACTACCATGAGCTGAATTATCTGTTCAGAACCAACCACAGCCGTTCAAATTCCTCCTTCTCCAAATTCCAACCACTGTGACCTCCATGCATGCCTTGTCTCCATCCTTCACCCCCAACCCTTCCGTCCACCTTTCCCAATCCAAACTCCAAACCCCCACAACCCTCATGCCGAAACAGTTCTCTCTCAACCACTTCTCTTCGCTCTGCAAAGATGGCCGAATCCGCGAAGCCGTCGACTCCCTCTCAGAAATGCAATTCCGAAACCTCCACGTGGGCCCGGACATTTACGGGACCCTCCTTCAGGGCTGCGTCTACGAGAGAGCCCTCCCCCTCGGCCTCCAAATCCACGCCCACCTCATCAAGAAAGGTCCTTCCTTCTCCCTAAACGAGTTCGTCGAATCCAAGCTAATTATTTTCTACGCCAAATGCGGCGCATCCGACGTGGCAACCCGCCTCTTCCGCGATTCGCAAAGCCAGAACGTCTTCTCCTGGGCCGCCATTATCGGGTTGCACACGCGAACGGGCCGTTGCCAAGAAGCGCTTATAGGTTGCGTAGAAATGCAAAACCACGGGTTATTACCTGACAACTTTGTTGTCCCCAATGTTTTGAAGGCTTGCGGGTTTCTTCGGTGGATTGGATTCGGTAAAGGGGTTCACGCGTTCGTCGTTAAGACAATGGGGTTCAGTGAATGCGTTTATGTTGCGACTAGTCTTGTGGACATGTACGGGAAGTGCGGGGCTTTGGAGGATGCGGAGAGGGTGTTTAATGGAATGGCTGAGAGAAACGACGTCGCTTGGAACTCCATGATTGTGACTTATGCGCAAAACGGAATGAATGAGGAGGCAATTAGGATGTTTTGGGAGATGAGGTTGCAAGGAGTGGAAGTGACTCCCGTTGCTCTGTCGGGTTTTTTTACGGCTTGTGCGAATTTGGAGGCCGTTGGAGAAGGACGACAAGGCCATGGCCTAGCTGTTGTGGGAGGGTTGGAGTTGGATAACATTTTGGGGAGTTCAATTATGAACTTCTATTTCAAGGTTGGTTTGGTTGAGGAGGCTGAGGTGGTTTTCGGAGACATGGTGATTAGGGATGTGGTGGCGTGGAATTTGGTTGTGTCGGGTTATCTGCAGTTTGGGATGGTTGGGAAGGCGCTTGAGATGTGTCGTTTGATGAGGGAACAGAATTTGAGGTTTGACTGCGTGACATTGTCTTCTTTGTTGGCTGTTGCTGCTGATACAAGAGATGTAAGATTGGGCACGAAGGCGCACGCATATTGCATTAAGAATGATTTTGAGTATGATATGGTTGTCTCGAGTGGAATCATTGATATGTACGCCAAGTGTGGGAGGATGAATTGTGCAAGAAGAGTTTTCAGCTCTGCCAGAAAGAAGGACATTGTGTTGTGGAATACGATGATAGCTGCTTGTGCTGTGCAGGGTCTGAGTGGGGAGGCCTTGAAGTTGTTCTTTCAAATGCAGCTGGAGAGTGTGCCTCCAAATGTGGTTTCTTGGAATTCTGTGATTTTTGGTTTCTTTAAGAATGGTCAGGTTGCTGAGGCTAGAAACATGTTTGCAGAAATGTGCTCCTCCGGTACCACACCTACTATGATCACGTGGACGACGGTGATGTCCGGTTTAGCTCAGAATGGTCTTGGCTGTGATGCTATGATGGTTTTCAGGGAAATGCAGGATGTGGGAATCAGACCTAATAACATTAGCATAACTTCTGCACTCTCTGCTTGCACCAGTATGGCATTGTTGAAATATGGACGGGCAATTCATGGGTATGTTGTGAGGCATGATATGTCTCAATCTCTTAGTATCGCAACCACAATGATAGACATGTATGCTAAATGTGGAGCTTTGAATGATGCAAAGTATGTTTTCAGTATGTGTTCAACAAAGGAGTTGCCTGTGTACAATGCAATTGTATCTGCATATGCATCTCATGGTCAAGCTAGAGAAGCTCTTGCGCTTTTTAAACAGTTGGAGAAAAGAAGAATAGTGTCAGATGACATAACCCTTACTAGTGTGTTGTCAGCATGCAGCCACGGGGGATTGGTGAAGGAGGGCATCGAGATTTTCAAGTATATGGTCTCCGGTCTCCAGATGACACCGAGTCAGGAACATTATGGTTGCTTGATCAAACTTCTTGCCAACGATGGTCAGATGGATGAAGCTCTAAAGACTATTTTGACAATGCCAAGCCATCCTGATGCACATATATTAGGCTCTCTGCTTGAGGCGTGTAGACAAAATCATGATATTGAACTTGCAGATTATATAGCAAAATGTTTATTGAAATTGGACCCAGAGAATTCAGGGAATTATGTAGCTCTTTCAAATGTGTATGCAACTGTGGGAAAATGGGATGAAGTGTCTAATATAAGGAGACTCATGAAAGACAAGGGTCTACGGAAGATTCCTGGGTGTAGCTGGATTCAAGTTGGACAAGAACTACATTACTTTATTGCTAGCGATAGATCACACCCCAAAACAGAGGAGATTTATTTGACATTGGATTTGTTGGGATTTGAAATGCATTAAGCAAAATATTGCCCATATTTACAATACTGAGCGAACATCGTTGTGACTAACATTGTAGCTACGGAGACCAAAACGCCGTTCCGTCGTAGTTATAAATTACAAATCTTTCAAATGGCGGGTTATTAGGTGGAACAGGTAAATAATTTTTTTTACATAAATATTTTTAAAATATATCTTTATTTATATAAATAATTTTTAAGTTTTTATTTATTAATAATTTTTTTTAAATAAATTAAAAAATATTATATTTATAGGTTAAAATAATTAAGGATAATAAATAATTTAAATTTAATTAATTAATTTTTATAATTTAAATTATTATATTATAATATATTTATATATTTCAATGAAATAAACAAATAATATTTTTAATTATAATTATTTTAATTTTAATATATAATATTTTTTTAAACAAATCAGTTTATCTTATTGGTACTTAATCCATTAAGTTGACGAACTTAATCCATTAAGTTGACGAACTTAATCCATTAAGTTGACGAACTTAATTCATTAAGTTGACGAAATAAATAAGAAAGATGAAATTGAATTATCGTATTAAAATTAGGGATGACAATTAAACTCGTATTCGTGGGGATCGATCCGTCCCCATCCCGAGTTTGATGGGGAAAACCCGAGTTGACCGGGGCGGGAGCCGGTTCGGGTTTTCCCACTTTAAAAGTCGGGGCGGGGATGGATAATGCAATCCCCACCCGACCTCGTTCCCGTCTCGATTTTATATTTAAATTTAAATTTTAAAATATTAATATTTTAAAAGTATTTCCTGTTTTTTTCTATTACATATGAGATCATTTTTTTATATTTCACTAATTTTTATTTTTTTTCTACCCACTTTTTATTTTTTTTGTCTTTTTTAATCTTTTATATCAATTAATTTATTACATTATTTTCTCTTACCTTTCAGTTTTTCATATCTCTCTAATCTCTCCCATCAATTTATTTATTTTTTTCAATATTTTCAACCAATTTGATGAACACAAAGTTAATTTTTTTTATTCTTTATCTTTTTTCTAAATATTTTACATAAATTTTAGTAGTAACTAATATTATTTTATTTATAATTTATATTTATTAGGTTTTATTATGTAATATTTTTTATCTTATTATTCTTATTTATCATATATCAAATTTTATCTTAATAAAATAATTATATTTTAAAGGGTTAAAGAAATTGATAATTTAAACTTTTATTACTTCGAACTAATTGGATAAGAATTAACTTATTAAATATTTCCTTATAAATTATATATTTCATATTTTTAAATGACAACTTAAAAATGAATTAACTTATATATATATAATCAAATGTTTGAATACAATATTATAATAATAATGTTACAAGTATCCAAATATTTCAATACAGTGTTATAATAATAATAATATTATAAATAAAAAATGATTAAATATTTTTTACATATATATATATATATTAATATAAATATAGTAAATTAAAATGTATATTTAATTAATAATAATTATAAATTATAAATATTTATTTATATATAAAAAATAGATAGTAAAATTAATTTATTATAAATATAACTATCTTTTTAAAAATAATATAGATTAGGGACGGAAATCCGAAACCCAACAGGGATGGAGACTTAATTTCTAACCCCACCGAGATCGAAGACGAAAATGGGATGGTTAAAAAAGTCGAAACGGGGATGGGGAACAAATTCCACCCCTGCCCCGCCCCGCCCGTTACCTTAAAATCATTAACTCATCAATCAATCTTTTTAAGCAAACCCGTATTAATATCTTAATTGTAATAAATTCATCAGAACAACCTCCAAAGTTATTTCTTTAATGATAAAACATAATTTAATAAGTAATGTGATGTATTCTATTTAACATATTAAAATTTTAAGATAAAAAACTAATAATATAAGATTTTGGTGAGAATAAAGAATAGTTTTAAAAAGAATAAAAACCCAAAATATACTCTGCAATTAAATCAATAATTTTAAATATTTTATAAAAATAAAATATAATTTTTTTTATAAAAATTAAAGTTAAAATATAATTATTTTGTAAGAAATAAGTTCTATTTACATTTTTTTCCAAGTTAAAAAAAATATTTTTATAAAACTAAAATAAATATCATTTAAACTCTAATTTTATTAAAAATGCATTATTTTTTAAAATTACATTTAAAAATTAAAAATAATAAACTCGGTTCCTCTCTTTTGCAAGCAAAGTTTGAACATCAAATGTACGAGCCCGGCGTTCCCACCTTATTTTATTTTATTGATTGTTTGGATGCGCCCGATAACCTAAGTCCAATAGCTTTCCCGTTTTGAAAGGTTGTGCGTGTTGAGCCCACTGGTTGAAACTGGAGCACGGTGGAAGTTGAACACACTTGAAGATGGAGAAGAATTCGGGAGGTTGGGATTCAGGAATGATGTTTGAAACCCTAAGACAAAGAGGTTGGTGTTTGGAAGACACATACGAATTGAAGGCCATCATCGACTTCCAATCCGCACTCGCCGATGACCCTTCCAAATTCCTACAATCTGTCGAGTCAGAACTCCTCAATTCGGACCTTCGATCTATTGGCGCCAAGTCATTACCCCAACCCTCTCTTCTTCGCAATGCTTCCACTTTTCTTCACGGTCCAAAAGTCCTTCAGGCAATATCACTTCGTTTCATATATATTAACTTAGAGAGTTGATGAAAATTGTGTTTTTCCTTTTTAATTTGTTTTTGGTTGCAGTTCCATCTTAATAGGATTTGTTAACTGCTTAAGCACATGGGTTGGTGTTGTGGCTTGTATCTATTTATTTATTTGCTTGTTTATTTTAAAATTGAAAATTTATTGGTCATAGCAGATAACTTCAGTGAGGGACATATCTAAAAGCCGCGTAGATGAGTTTTTGAGGAATTCAGGTGGTCGGAGAGTTCTCAGATTGTGTCTCACTGATGGTCACTCCGAAATAACTTCTGTGGAATATTCACACGTTCCTTCTATACCAGACAACGTTGTTCCGGGTACTAAGGTAATGCCCTTCTTCTTGCTATATATTGCAGCAACTGCTTGTACCTTTGTGAGTTTGTGACTGAATGCATGTCATTTTCTATATAAACCTTTTAGAAATTACATACCTTTTAGAAATTACATTGATTTATATGCGCTGCGCTCTGGATATGATAACAAAAGTTGCTGCACAGCGCATATAGATGAGAATATTGGTAAAGAAATAGCATTGATAGTTTTTCATTAATTCATAACTATTGGTAAAGAAAGAGACATGGATCACTTTTCTTTAATTCCTAACTACCCCCAATTCCCCTTGAGGAGCAACATGGCTGTATAAAAGCTTTTGGAGTAAATGGGAAGAAGATCCATGCATCACTCATCAAGATTTTGGATCTAATACCCATTTACATCGATTGGATCAAAATAACAAAGTCACTCACAAAAAATGAGAAATTAGAGAATTCTTCATAAACTTTTCTTTCTTTAGCTGGTGGAAAATATATCATCATAAAAATATATATTATAAAATTGAACACTTCCTTGCATATCTGACACTATCTGAGCTGTATTTGAACTGATTCCTTCAGTTTTTTCTTAAAAATAAATATATAAAAAAAGTTGTTACTTTTGGATATGCTGCCAGTAGTATATGAGGAGTATTGGGGTACAACATGGTTATGGACAATCTATAAACCTTGACATTATAACCGGACTTACCTTAGCGTACCCTGTTTAAAAGTCTTCATTTAAATGTTGCGGAGCTGAATTGCTGCTAGTTGATGTATGTTTGAAACATTTTGATTGATACAATTGTTATATTCTGTTGATCGTCAGGACTTTGTCTTGATTGGTGATCTGGCTTTCTGCAATTATAGAATGTGGCATGCTTGTACCTTAGTGATTATGTGATCTATTATTGCTTTATATGTTTATTCTTCAATATGTATCTTAATGCGTCTATTCTTAAATCAGTTTTATGATCTGTTGTTGCATTTCCATTGGACAGATCCGTTTGGAAAATAAAGTTGCAGTTCACAGTGGAATTGTTTGCTTAAATCCTAATGTATTGACTGTATTAGGAGGTGTTGTTCAATCACTCTACGATGAATGGGAGATGAATAAAAAATATTCAGGATTCTCCCGATCGTCCTTAAGAAAGCTAGAGAATCGGGATACAGGTGGCCCTCCACAGTTTGTGAAGTTGCAGGTTGGATCATCCTCAGGTCAAAGGGAACATTTTTCTTGTCATTCTTTCCCTTTTATTTACTAGTGTATGCACTGTTTTTTCTTGTAGATTGATTTTTATTTTGGCTTGTCATTATTGTTCATAATCAAGCAATTCTTATTTTTAACACAGAATTGAAATTGATAAAATAAGTAAATTGTTGTGTGGATGATGATCATTCATGTTTATCCTGACTTAAAGCTATTTTTGTTTTGACATTTATTTGTGAGGACTGCTTGATGCAGTAAATTACATTGACCTCCAATATTTGGAAAACTACAGAAGTAGCCCTTCTAATTTTGAATGTTACACCAATCACATTGTGAGTTTTTGTAATACTGAGACCTCCTAATAAAATTTATTAAACCATTTTATACTGAGGAAAAAATTCTTGGCACTGACTCCCATTCCTTTGGGATTTGTTAGATATAGACCTTTAAACACCAAATGTATTGTTTGTTGTTCAGAATCAATGATAGTTTGCATGGAATTGACAAAAAACAGTGATCTCTAACAGGTATTACAGATTATAACTCTAGTAGAAATCGTAAGCCAATTGCTGTGGCCGGTGAAGCTGAGATGAGACCAACAGGTGTTGCAGATTATAACTCTAATAGAAATCGTAAGCCAATTTCTGCTGTTCGTACAGCTGAGATGAGACAAACTGATATCCAGCAAGACCCCAATCAGAAAGCAGATATTTTGGATGTAAATCTAGAATCCAATCCACCTCAACCGAGACCTCAAGACAAGGCTAGTAGTTCAGGCACAAGGCCAAAAGAAGGTGCTTCCTTTGTCTTATATTTTTCTTCTAAGTGCTTTTGGTATATATAATATCTAAGGCACAATCTTGAGGTGCATCTAAATTAAGTCCACTACAGGAAAATATATTTTTGAAATTTATATTCTTTTGTCATTTGTTAGTTTTTGTTGTTTCAAATGGCTTTTGCTTGTGTGGTGACACTGGGTGTCTATTAATAAACAAAGCTTAATCAATGGAAAAAGTGTCTCATTGGTTGGATGTTTTATTTGATATGAACACTCAGACTTTCTGCATCTCTTTGGATTGAACTCACAATTAAGTTATATAAGCAATATAAAATAGGAATCAAATTCATACCTTTTTTGCCGGAATCCATTTTATTAATTATTCGTTGCCTTTCCTCTCAGATGGAATTAATGTGATATTGATCTTTGACCCGTTTACAGTTGTGGAATCTGTTCCTGTGCAAAATCAAGCAGCTGCCCAAAAATTACTTCAGAAGCTGAATCAACTAAGTCAGAATGATCGACATGGTAGGGGTTGGAAACATAGGGGCAAGGGGAAACAAGAAGACCCAGTTGTATTCACTCTCGAAGAATATGAAAACAGAAAGGCCCAAATAAGGCCTAGTAATATAGACAAGGATCAATACATCAGTCATGATGAAGATCTTGCCAGGCACCTTCAAAATCAACTAAACCTTGAAAATTCTCAGGTTGACCTTTAGTAATTCCAGTTGTATTCTTTAGTAATTTTTGTGAGTTATGCTGTTTTGTTTTTCTTTTTCTTCATCATTCTATAATACTTGGTCCAACATCTTATTATCTTATATATGACTTGTTCAGATAGGACGGGGTAATTATGAAGCCAAGGCACAAGATATTAGGATGAGTATGTTCACGTATGAAAAGAATTCTGACAGCAGCCATCAAATGGCAGAAGGAGGAAGTAGAGGAAGAGGAAGAGGAAGAGGTAGGGGAAGGGGGAGAGGAAGAGGGAGAGGAAGATATGGTTAACTATCATTCTTTTTATTTTTTGTTTCTTGTGAAGATGGAAATCTTGGTTCAGAATAGTAATGGTTCCTTGGCAAAATAAAATGACCCGACGAACATTATATCATTGGGTTAAGTTTTTCATGGTTATCAACCTTTGGGCTTTCTTTGTTACGTGTATCATAGTTTTTCTGGGTATTTTTATTCTCTTTCCATATAGATTGATCGTGAAGCAGAGTTCGTTGAACCAAGAGTCTAATCTCCATTAGCCTCCCTGATATTCTCAACTCTAACCCGACCAAAACTCGTCATCTGATAATATTATTGCTTTGTAGCGACTGCTCCTTGGTGCATTTGTAAAGAGAAATGTGCAACTTTATGAAATTGTGGAATGAAGATATACCATAAGAACGAGAAGTCAGGTTTGAATTAGAGTCTTGAGGTTCCTAAATTGGGTTAATATTCACTTATTATAAGAAATTTGTTTCACCAAAACAAAATAAGTAATAAACAAATAAAGAGACTTAATTTAATAAGGCTCGGCTCGGTACTGGATTAGTGACTGAATAGTAGACCCCATAATTTACGAAGAATTTATGGATTTATAATTTCATGTAAATTCAGGACACGCTAATCAACAATAAACCAAAACACGTGAATCATGTCATACCCAATGTCTAATATGCGACCAACATGTTGTCATTTGAAAGGATTTAACAAGATTATAAAAACAAATGCTAAAACACTAAGAATTTTTCTATGTATATAATACAAGCCACATACCTTTAAGTCCTTCAATTGATTGTTCAATCACAAGCTTCTTCTAGGTTGTCTTGATGATAACCTCCTTTTTGCATGTGACTTAGTATAAGTGTATCCTAACATTCACACATATCTTAGAGAATGATATACATTATAAAAGAATCATTTGTTCAGCTCCTCCATGTAAGTTCTATGCATATCAAGATTAATACAAGAGGTTGAGTCATTATTTGGGTAAAATAAGAAAAACACAAGAAAATGTTGAATTGTGTTTTAGTAGATTTTAATTTATTTATTTTTTCTAAAATATGACATGGACAAATATGTTGCTTCTTTATTTTTTTTATGAAAACATCTATTCATTTTATGTCCAAATTTTTTACAAAATTATCTCCTCCATCTTATTATATCTTAGGATACTTTTTTTCTAATGATTATCTTCTATGTTTCAATTATTTACAGTTTTGGACATCCATCTACAAAATTTGTTTAAATTAATATTTTCATCTTTAAAATATCAATAAATATCTTTATCCAATATATGGTTAACTTGACTTCTTAGAGAATCATTTCAAGACTTAACTTTTCTTACACTTATATGTTGTGCAACAAAACAAGAAGGGAACATGCAAACAACAATGAAAGAACATAAAATTGATAAGCATATATACAAAACACAAAACTAGATGATAAGATCGTGAATGCAACAAATATGATTAGCAAACAATCAACTCTTTTTCAGTACATGAAGGTTATCCTTCATAGAGGAACAACAGAATAAGAAATGTAAAAAATATAGATGATAAGTCCCTAAATGTCCCAAAGACCATAGAAGTATGACTAAAAGGGAGGGCTCTTTCTCACCCTCAATTTTGATTTTTCTTAGTATTTATTTTCTTAAATTTTAGAGATTCATTTTTGGATTTTTTTGTAGGACCACTTTATACACGTCCTTTTTGAAGACCACCACCTCTTTTTGGTGGAAAAGAAGGCTTGGACATATAGGATGGTTACATGGGCTACCCAAAGATGTATGACACTCCTTTTTCATGTTCTACACCCCTTTTTGGAGAGGAAGAAGTTTGGAATGCGAGATTAGTAGGCTTGGGACAACCCAAAAGGAAGCACACCTCGTTTTTTTTATGTTCTCCACACTCTTAGAGACATTTTTTGTAGGCTAGGACGAATTTAATATATTTGAGTCACGAGAACTCTTAGCCTTTAGGTTTAGGTTAATTTTATGTCTCATTTTGTAATTTCATCTAGATCCCTTTCCCAAAAGCCTATAAATAGAAGGTTTCCTCTCATGTAATTAGGTTGAACATTTATGACAAGTTTTGATATGAATTACAATGGGTGATTTAGGATCTTTAAGGTTAGAACCTTGTAAGAAATTTAGGAATTAGAAAGAAGGTGAAAGAAAAGAATCACTCTTTCCAAGGAAGGAAACACACAAAGGATGTGAAAGTCCTTTGATACAGCCAAAGGTTCTTGAATCACTCAAGAACTTAGGATAATCACTGTCACTAAGATAAAAGAGATAAAATCTAATATTTCTAAAAATAAAACTCAACTTCTTATTTCTGGTAAAAATGGTTCAGCTTATAAAGAAGTTTTGCCATCAGAGTTACAAATATTCATTAAAAGAAAATAAATGCTAATAATGATTTATTAACCTAGGAATTGAAAACTACTTAATGATTGATTGTAACTGAAATTGTGGCATCCAAAAGTCAATCAGTTATGCACCCTCTTGGTCTCCCAAAGACTGATAACTAAATTTTCAATTGGGCCCTTATTACAACTTGCAATAAAACTAAACTAAAGCCCATTAATTGAATAATCCAAAACACAATTTGGTCAACCAACAATACTTGTTGAAGAGCTTCATTTGCTTCCCTTACTCCAGCCCTTATCGTAGGTCATGTTCACATCAAGTTTGTGAGATTTCTTAGAGTGCTTCATCTCTTTGAGTGTCTTATCTTGAACCTTGATTCGAGTGACGATAACCACCACTTATCTAGGGTGGCTCATCCCTAGTGGCATGTCAACACTTCACCACCACCATACTTCTCTTCTCTTCATCTTTTCTTCTTTATTTCTTCACTTCATTTATTTATCCACGGAGCTGGTCCATTTTTCCAGTCCTTATCTTTATTCTTTTCTATTTTCATTCCATCTCTTCTTCCCTCCATAATCCTTAGAAATGAACCTTCACATCTAGATAGTCAATTATCTTAATGTCCAATGGGAATTTTTCTTGGGTTTGCTTACATTATTGCTTAAAATTTTGCAACTTATCTTCTTAAAATTATGCACCTTACTTTATTTTACATCATTTGGTATTCAAAGCTTAGGTTGTTCCTAGTAAGGTATTCTTATTGTTGCTTTGATTTTATTCCTTGTGTAGCTTGCTTTTTGTGCTATAACTTGTGTTTTTGTAGCCATTTTTTGGTTTACGGTGCTGCACTAAAAAGTTTGGGCGTGAGGTTAGTCCAATACTACACTCACTTCATTTTATTTTTATGACATGTATGATGTTTGATAAAATGCCTAGCTAAAAAAATTTTTGCACTTGATTAAGTTACATATTTTTCTAAGTTTAATGTATTTCTAAATATGCATAGCCTTTGCTTTTAAGTTATATGTCTAGTATCTCTTGTTGAAGTTTTCTTTTATTGACTTCTAATACTTTAAATTGCATGATGAATTAATTAGTTAAGTCCATGCATGATAAATTGATCTAGGATCCTAAACATAGGGACTAAGTGATCAAATTTTTCCTAGCAATTTTAAACAACTTTTGGCAAGTCTAGAATCAAGTTAGAACAAAAAAAAATTTACACAAAAGTACCTTGGCCGAAACATTATTGCTTCAAAAAAAAAATTCGGCACTTGTGAGATTTGATTCTAGAAATTGTCATAATACTTGGTTGCATGATTAAAATTTGGCAAATTAGTTCTAACATTGTAGGAACCTTAGTCTTCTTTATGTGTGTGCTTGGCTGAAAATTTTGATTGCATGTTTTAAGTGTTTCTCAAATTTCATTTTAGTTTTTCTTATTTTAGTCTTGTTCAAAGTTTTGTCTAAATTTCCCTCTTAGTATATCTTCCTTGATTTTGTGTTTTTATTGTTTGTCTTAGGTTCCCTTAAAATTTTTGTCTTTGATAGTTGTTATTATTGGAACTCTTAAGTGTCATTGGTTGGCATACATATTTCCACTTGATTTTCATTTTTCAAGAAAAAAAATTAATGCCTTAGAGAGAGTTTCTTCGGACACTTAGAAAAGTTTTACTTGAAGAGTGGAGTGATCTTAACCTTGAACTTGTGTGAGAGACCAAACACTTGAGGGGATTCAATTATTTTGTTATCTAACTTTCACTTTGAAGTTGTTTTTGTCTTAGCTTAATTGTTTTGTAGAAATGTCAAACTCTTCTTCTGAAAAGGCAAGCAACGTACGCAGGTCTAATGAAGGACAAATGAAAGGCCCAGTGGAGCAAACTCTAGTGGAATTGATTAGGGAGATGGAATTGTTATGGAAGGAAAGTGAAAGACTTTTGAGGGAGACAATCCAAAGACTAGAAGCTGAGAAGTCCCAAAGAGAGAGAAGATGTTCATACTCACTAAATTCCCAAGAGGACGAAGATAGGAGATACCATGGAAGGAGGCAATCTAGGCGCACCAACACTCCAAGAATAAACAACATCAAGATTCCCAAGTTCTACGGAGATAATGATCCAGAAGTTTACCTAGACTGGGAGGCTAAAGTGGACTGAATCTTTAATGTAAACCCAGTAGGGGACCAAGAACAAGTAGATTTAGTTGTAGTAAAATTTGAGGGATATGCCATAACTTGGAGGCATAAGGTTTGTAACGATAATTATCAAGGGTCACTCGCGACTTCTTAGATGGACATTAAACATTTAATGCGCGCTAGATTGGTTCATTCCTACTATAGGAGGGAGCTCCTGTTGAAGCTTCAACGACTTCAATAGGGTAATATGTGTGCGAATGATTACTTCAAGACGCTAGAATCTTTGCTACTTAGGACTGGTATGCATGATGAAACTAATGAAACTAAGGTAGCTAGATTTGTTAGTGGTCTTAAAAGAGATATCGAGGACTTAGTAGAATTATATGAATACTCCTCAATTGAAAACGTTTTACATCTTGCCCTAAAAATTGAAGCTCAATTGAAAAGAAAAGATGTGGCTAAAAGGAGTTATTCGCATAATTACTACTACAGTTCAAATTGGAAGGACAAGGGCAAGGAAAAGGAAAAACCAGAGAGAAACATTTCCAAAGCTCTCCAAGAGGTGCCCCCTAAGGGAAACTCTTCAAGGAACATCACTCCTAACACTTCCGCGCCTCAAAGGACTATTTCATAAAATGTTTCAAATGTCTTGGGTATGGGCGGACACATTGCTTCAAATTGTCCTACCAAAAGGACTATGATTTTAGCGCAAACGAAGATATCGAGAGTGAACATTCCTCCTCATCTAAAGAGAATTCCTCTGAACACTCTTCCTCAAGCGATAAAGAGATCACACCTTGTGAAGGCGATTTGTTAATAGTAAGGCGGATGTTGGGTCAAGTCCAGAAGGATCTTGACAATACTCAAAGAGAAAACATTTTTCACACCTGCTGCCTTTTTAATGACAAATTATGTTTACTCATCATCGATGGGGAAAGTTGTGTGAGTGTTGCTAACACGAGGGTAGTAGACAAACTTGGTTTGCCCACTATTCCTCATGCTAAGTCATACAAGCTTTCCTGGCTTAGTGAGGAAGGAGAGATAAAGGTCAATAAACAAGTTCTCATTAGCTTTGCAATTGGGAACTATAAGGATGAAGTTCTTTGTGATGTTATGCCAATGGAAGCGTCCCATATTTTACTTGGTAGGTCGTGGCAATTTGATAAGCAAATCTTTCATGACGGTTATACCAACAAGTTTTCTTTCAACTTCCAAGGGCGCAAGATCACTTTGAAACCCCTTTCCCCTCAAGAAGTTAGTAAGGACCAAGAAAAAATGCAAAAAAAGAGAAAAGAAAGAAGAAGAAGAAGGGGTCAACCTTCAAGGCGAAGGGCATCATGATCTCCCACAAGGGATTAAGAAGGTACTTTTAGCTCATAAACTCCTACTCTTAACATATCCTCCTTTAGGTTCTTTCCCTATATTTCATGAATAATCTCCAAGTTTGTCCAAGAGTCTAGAGTTAGTATTGGATGAATTTCAGGATATTTTTCAAGAACCTCCTAAGGGGCTTCCACCTCTAAGGAGAATCGAATATCAAATAGATTTCTTACCTAGTTCATCCATTCCTAATCGGCCGGTTTATAAGACAAACCTAGAAGAGTCTAAAGATATCCAAGGGCAAGTCGAGGAATTAATATATAAAGGTTGGGTCCAAGGTAGCATGAGTCCCTATGTAATGTCGGTAATTCTCGTCCCAAAAAAGGATGGGAGTTGGGGAATGTGTACGAGTTGTACGGTAATCAATAATATAACTGTTAAGTATAGGCACCCAATTCTAAGGCTAGATGACTTAGTAGAAGAGTTACATGGAGCTTCTGTGTTTTCCAAAATTGATCTTAAGAGCAAAAATAATCAAGTCAGAATCAAAGAAGCAGATGAACAAAAAACAACAAAAAAGTGAAAAAAAAAAAAGAAAGACAAGGGGAATAAAAATGTTTTGAAAATTTGTGGACGAATTCTCTCCAAAGTGGGGAGGATGATAAGTCCCTAGATGCCCCGGAGACCGGAGAAGTCATCCCTTGGAGGATCACTAGGAGCATTACTAAAAGGGAGACCTCTTTCTCACCCTCCATTTTGAATTTTCTTAGCATTTATTTTCTTAAATTTTAGAGACTCATTTTCGCATTTTTTTGTAGGACCACTTTATACACCTCCTTTTTGAAGACCACCACCTCTTTTTGGTGGAAAAGAAGGCTTGAACATATATGATGGTTACATGGGCTGCCCAAAGGTATAGGACACTCCTTTTTCATGTCCTACACCTCTTTTTGGAGAGGAAGAAGCTTGGGATGCGAGATTGGTAAGCTTGGGACAATCCAAAAGGAAGCACACTTCCTTTTTTTATGTTCTCCACACCCTTAGAGACATTTTTTGTGGGTTAGGACGAATTTAACATATTTGGGTCATGAGGACTCTTAGCTTTTAGGTTTAGGTTAAGTTTATGTCTCATTTTATAATTTCATCTAGGTCTCTTTCCCAAAAACCTATAAATAGAAGGTTTCCCCTCATGTAATTAGGTTGAACATTTATGACAAGTTTGTGAGATTTCTTAGAGTGTTCCATCTCTTTGAGTGTCTTATCTTGAACCTTGGTTCAAGTGGCGGCATCCACCACTTATCTAGGGTGGCACATCCCCTAGTGGCGTGCCAACACTTCACCACCACCATACTTCTCTTCTCTTCATCTTTTCTTCTTTATTTCTTCACTCCATTTATTTATCCAAGGGGCTGGTCCATATTTCCACCCCTTATCTTTATTCTTTTCTAGTTTCATTCCATCTCTTCCTCCCTCCATAATCCTTGAAAATGAACCTTCACATCTAGATAGACAACTATCTTAATGTCCTGGGGGAATTTTCCTTGAGTTTGCTTACTTTATTACTTAAAATTCTACAACTTATCTTCTTAAAATTTTGCACCTTACTTTATTTTACATCATATAACAAAAGTTAATTAAACATATTGTAACTAACTTAATTGAAAATAGTAAACAAAACAATATTAGTTGAACACACGAAGATGTTTTGTTGATTGAGCATTCATAAGATGATTCTATTGCTTTTATCAGTCTCAGATGATATAATCATCTAAGGAGTTTGAGGCATATCTCACAAATCTCCATGTTGCATTGAAACTTCTTTTTTAACAAAACTACTCCCAATAATCAACATTTATTCAACACTTATAATGCATGAAATTAGCTTAATGAACATATTTTTTGGGTTCTCCCACCTCCTTCACTTCAATTATCTCATCATGCAAATGAAGTGATATCTGATATTAATGTGTTTAGTGATCTCATGATGCATATAATCCTTTGCTAAGTATATTGCATAAATTACACTCAAATTATCACACAAGAGGATAATCATGTTAAAATCAAAGTCATTTATGAGACCTTTCAACCAAATACCTCCTTGGTTGTTTCTGCCAATGTCATATACTTGATTTTAATAATCGATAAAGTTATCATAGGTTGCATAGTAGCTTCCAACAAACAAGGTCCAACTTGGATGCAAAAAGGTTCTTAGTTCTTTCTTGACCAGGTTAGAGTTGGTTCTTGTGTTGCAACTTGAGGAAGCTTTAAAGAATGACTTTTGATGGGTTTTCTTGGTGACTTAGGTTAGGAAATGGTCTAGGCATGACACAAGGAATTAAACAAGACAAATAATGAATTAAAAACTCAAAGAACAAAGAAGGGATAGAAAGCTTATTAAAAACATAATATCGATGCATGAAGGTTTGGTTTTTCTTTGGGATATGAATCACTTAGAGATCAAGCTGAGAAGGTTCTTGGAAGACTCCAAGAATTGTTGAAATTTGGCATAAACTCATTAAATATGACATGCCAAGAAGGGCTTGAAAATATCCATTTGAGATATGACTAACTCAAGATAGAAACTCCACAAGAAAAGGAAAATAATACTCTTTTCATGCAAAAATCTCTCTTAAATTTCAATGCTCAAAGTTTTTTTTACAAAAGGGTGCTTACATGATGGGGACATAACCATGAGCAAGGGCAATGATTCACTTGAAGGATTTTGAGGACCTATGACAAAGGCTAGAGCAAGGGAAGCAAAGGAAGTTCTTCCACAACATATCACTACATCTCCTTATATAAGAATTTTTCCAAAAGCAAGCCCGAACATTTTTCCTTTCCTTATTGCCAAAGTAACTATCTTGTAATGCATGATTACATCAATGCATAACGTGACAATTAATTTTCTAACATACAAAACCCTTTCCTCCTCCCTTTGCCAAATTCTTTGAACCCTAAAATTTTATTCTTCTTGAATCCATCTCACCTACCTTCACTCATAGAATACCCTCACTACCTATGTAAGAAAAACTCCAACCTCTACAATGGTGGAAACTTGTCCATCAATGTTGAATACTATATTGACTTCAATCAAGTAAAGACTGAGTCTCACAACCATTTTTTAGTGTTGTGGAATTGTTAGTTTTTTCACTAATGGACAAACAATGTACCCAAAATTGGTTTGTATCTTCTAGACACATGTAATGCTTATGTGCGATAACTCTATCAAGTCCAAGGTGCTTAGAAAAATTGCAATGGTGAAACAATTCACCATTATCGATGTTATGAGTTGTGACAAGGTAATTAGCTAGTAATTTGACCTTTAGGATATGAGATACCATCTAAACAAGATAGTGGAAAAGGTCCTCTACATACCAATTACAAGATGACTTTGTAAAGAAGAAGATAAACTACAAACCAATGAAGTCTATGATGCTTCAACTCATCCTTTCCAAGTTTATCCTAAGTCTAAGTCAAAAGACCATGTGACAAAAATGGGGAAGCTTGTATACCATATATGCCAACATGTATACCCTTTAACCTTCCTCGTCTTCTTTTTGCTAACCTCATTCAAACAATGTGTGGGATTGATGAAGACCTAACCAACAACTTCTTTATTACTCTCCTCGTGAAGTTATTTTGGAAACAAGAAGTCATGTTGAAGTTCAACAAGCTCTCAAGTGTCAAAAGACAATAACTTGTAAATTGACGTCAAATAAATGTGTATAGGGATAAACTTGATTGTAAACTACTCTCAATTCAGTTTGACTTGGCTACCCTAAGGAGACATCAGACCAACAACTTTTTTCCACCTCACTCACCTAGATAAATTTGAGTTGTTCAATATTTTTAGTGTGTGTAAGATTCAACTCTTGTCAAAGCATTAAGAAGATTCATCCTATCATAAAGAAATGTTTTAAACCATCCCCACGTGATGATAAGGAAGATGTGAATTGAGGAAAGAGAATGTTTCAATTCAAGTAAAAGGATGTAACAAGTTTTACAAAAACCATCTAGTTATGTATAAAAAGCTATTGAATTATATGTAAAATGTCATCGAGCTACATCCAAAAAGTCATCCATTTATATTTATATGGTGTGAGCAATGATCAAATCTAATACATGATGTAATAACATTAAACTATAACAAATAACATAAGCAATTATATATATTATGCACCACACAATCATAAACTACATTATCATTAAATTATAAATTATTACTCATTCAAAGATTTTACCTTATCAATTCATATAGAAATACTAGTATTTAAAATCTTGACCTATTAAAAGCTTCAATTAAACAAATTTAGTATGATGAAGATTGTGCTCTTGAGCACATATATTAGCTCTTTTGAAAGCTCAAAGTTTTAGTTAAATTTATTTATTTATGAAGTTTATTAAAGCTTCTTCATCATAAAAAGATGTAAATGAATTGTCCACTTGATAAGTTATATTTGCTTTCTGAATTTTGGGTATTTTAATACTTATTCATATATGATATGTTCAAAATACATTTTAGAAATTTTATAAATATATCACTTAATCATATTTAAGATGATAATCTAGTCGACTGGAAGTGAGAAAATTATGTATGTGATGTTACAAACATATTTTTGTATATATAGCTATATAGATCTATTTGTATTTTATAATTTACAATTAAATTATATATAATATATAACGACATGTTAATCAAGGAAGAATAAAAAAATACAAATCCTTTATTATATAAATAATAATTCAGATATTTTATATCTCTAATATAACATTAATGATAATAATTCTTTAAGAAAATAATTTTATTATTTATCTTCAAAAGTATTTATAAGACTTGTATGATAAAATTTTAAGAAAGATTTTTATTATAATTATTATTCACTTCAATAACTCATATTATGTTGTTATTTTATTTTTCACTTATCCACTCCAGTTGTCATTTTCATAATCCACCCTTTCACCTATCAAACTAAATGCATCAATTTACTCGTAATTTTTTAATATTAACTTTTAATAATTATAATCAAAATCAGTTTCAATAACAATATTTAATATTAAACTATTTTAATGATAATAACTTTAAATATTTATTTATATATTTAATAATTATTATTTTAAATTATTTTTAAAAATATATAAAATTAAATTAAATTAAAAAAAAAAACTGATGAACTATACCAGTCAAAATTTGGTTTCCGAAAACTCAATTCCGACTGATTTCCAACCAGGGATGCAAGAAAGAAAGTCCAGAATTCGGTTGGTAGAGAAAAGCGATGTATTCTATAAATTAAAGGCAAAGAAACGGCCAAGTTTTTAAAACAAAAATGGTTAGTGAGAAATAAGACCCACGGTAATAAATGTAAGTCATTGTAATTTGTAATGAAAATATAATAATTATTTTTAAAAAAATTACATTCGAACAAAATTCTAATCTGTTTCCACTGCAAAATTCTTACATGAAGGATAGAATACAACACAACACATAAGCAAGCTTCATTTCGTATATCTACATACATAGCATATGGCCAATGAATATAGCAATGACACCACATTGATTCTGGTACAACGTCTTCCACACTGCACACCAATGCCAGTCCAACACAAGGTAAGAGCTAAAGTGGGGCCAGCCAGGTCATTAGGTAGTAAGAAGTGGGTGGTTCTGACACCAAATAATTGCATTCGTGACTGCACCGACACCACAAACAAATACCCTTCAATTCCCACAACACTAGCACTCCTCTAGCATTTACAAACCCAAATGGCATTGCCAATGCATCTTAAAAACATGGCAAAACGTAAGAACCATGTCACTTAGTAATTTGAACATTCACATTGGCATAACTAGCATGCCACAGAACATGCAGGAGATGCTAAAACATCACCACCTACTAGAGCTATAGATTGGACATTGGCAATGGCAGCAGCTTCAAGACGTTCCCATGTTACTCTACGTCTCTCAGCTGTGGCGCTTGACCTTGTGTCCTCCTCCTCCAACTTACGTTGGCAGGCAAGCACCAGTTCCTCGTCCATCTGAGACAGCATCTTCCTCATGTTCTCGGTCTGGTTCAGCACTGTCCGGTTCCAGTGATGTTGGGTGTTATGTACAAGTGCTGTGAACACAAGAGGCAGAATCACCTGCCGGTTTTGGGAGACAACATCGAGGATGTGATCGTTGTTCCAAAGCAAATGAGCTCGTTCAGCCACCTGAACAAAAATATGAATATAAGTAGACTGATAGATTTTCACCATAATAGAAATACTAACAACATCCCACAACCACGTTGCTTGAAATTGCATTGCATGACACCAAGGCTACATTAGTGTATATATCCAAGTACATCAGAAAAACCAACTAATATCTCTGAAGAGCCAGAAAAGAAGATTGACAACATAATGGTATTTACTGAAAGCAGAATCCAATTCCTTACTAATTTACACAGATGTTCTCTCTATCAGGTGAAAGGAATATGTATTAAATTTAGAAATTGACACAAGGTTACTCTCTCCCATGAAAAATGTAGCTAAAGAGTAGCATATTAGTCGGAATTACCTGGTAATGATAGCTATTAAGACAGCAAGCTATGCGTCGAAACAGTGGGATCATAACCTTCTGAAATTCAGTCATGATTGTGGCATCCAAAACCTCTTCCAACTCGCTTATGAACATTAACTCCTTTTGGCTATTTGTTACTGGCCAGTACTTCAATAGCCCCGTTATCACGGTGCTAGCCAGTGTTGGATCCTTATCAATGAACTGTAAAACACAATATGTTAACTGCTGATGATAAACACCAACAGATTTAGGTTTGTGTAAAGGTATTAAAACCCTACACAAAAACATTTTGTGCTCCTCCTTCAATGGCAAGGCAAACCCACAAATCACACTCCCAAAAATTTCCAACAACTCAGCAATTCCATTATGACGTTCAGTCTCAAAAACAAAACGGTAGATGATATTGCTGACACATTTCCTTATGAAAGGCCTGTGTACCATGAATTTCCCATAGATTCTATGCAGAATTGTTTTCAGACAATCTCTTTCTCTAGGGTCCTCAGAATCAAAAAGGTCAAGCAATCTAACAATGAAAGCATGATCAATATGCAATTTCGCCACCTTTAGATCAAGTGCATTATAGTTTATGAATTGAAGGAGAAGATCATAAACCATTTTCAGGTGAGACCAGGCAGGATCAAACATAAGCTCTTCATCTTCTGTTTCTCCTCCACCAGTAGCACTAGGACGAAACTTAGGTGGGAAAACCCTGAACAAATTACTTGCACACATTTTAGACATTGCAGCGATTGATGGTTCTGTGAACTTTGCAGATCCAGAAGAAACAAAATTGACAAGCTCTACCAATGTTTGTTGTTTAAGATCTTGCTCTGCGCAATTCTTACCAGGACAACTTATATCATAAACACTGCAGCAAAGATTCAACTTACTGATAAACAGGTTTTGCTTCTGTATATTTGAAACATCATTGAAAGATATATGGGGATCAACTGCTTCCACTCCAGCACTCAAGCTTGCTGGAAATACCACTGATGATACCCGCTTCACAGCATTTAATTTGCTTGAAATGGCAACCCCAACATTGGTACACTGAAAGACATTTGCAAAAGTAGTAACACTCCCAGAATCACTCTGGGCCGAATCTGATGTGTCAGATTTTGGCACCTTCTTAGGCAATTTGCTAAGAATTTGCTTTAACATGGTGACAATGCAGTAAACCTAGCAGCGGGAACACGAGCATGAGTTTATCAGTCAGCCAAAATCCTAGGCACTCCTTTAATTGATGAAATGAACCAGAAGAGCATCCCAAAATGTGCAATCATTCAACAGCAAGGCAACTAAGACCCGCGTATGAGAGTTCATAGTGCAACTAGGACCAATTTAGAGATTAAACCCAAGTAAATAAGGATAACAACTAAAGAAACCGAATGAACTAAATCCTGTGCAAGAAAGAGTACAAAAGCACAACCAATCTAAAATGTATAGGAGCAAATACGACCCAAGCAAAGAAAAAACCAATACTGAAACGCCAATTCTTTCACAATACGCGTCAATGTAATAAACAGTAATTCGAAAAATGCATTCAGGATATCTTGTAAAGAACTACAAACAGAATCAAATTCTAACCAGATCTAAAGGCTTCTTTGCAGAATTCAGTACGTAAAGATGAGTTTCATTATTTTAAAGCCAGATGAAGCTCATCTGAACAAGTATTAACATAAAAAACAAAGGAGAACGAATCAACAAACAGTAAATTAATACAAATTTAAAAACTTTGCAGTTGAAGCAACAGTGGATAGTGGAACCCAAGATCGAGATCGAGGTCTAACTTAAAAAAATCCTTGAACCTTACATGACCATTACCAGACAATTTTACTCATTAAGAAAATAGCTAAAAGAATCAAAGTGACTCCTAAGCACGAAAAAACATAGAAATCAGTAAATTTAAGAAGTTTAAAAATCTTCAAACGCAGTAATTGAGATAGAAGCAGAAACTACCAACCTGATTTATTTGGGAAAGAAAAAATTGGGAAGAAGAGAGGGAGAAGTAGTCAAAAAAGGTTTATGATATTTTCCATAAGATTGAGTAAGGAGCATGTAGAGAAAGACGGCGAGAGAGAGAGGGTGTTTATTTTGTTGGGTGGCTAAGAACAGAGAGTTTGACGTGAAAAATGTGAGATTTTTATATGGTTTAGTTGAAGAATAAAGAGATGAGACCTATCTGGGAATTTCCATGACCAGTTCCTGGATTGAAGAGGACAACCACTCCCTAAATATTTAACATGACAATTTTTATTTTTTTCTTTATTATTGCTATTTAGTATCTTTCTTTATTTTACAATTTTGATTACTTCATTAATTTAATTATTTAATTTAATCTGTCTGTAATGTTTATTGAAAATATTGGTTTGATATTTTTAAGGAAAAACATTTTGTTCCCGAAAGTAGAGTTAACAATGTAGTGTTAACAATATTTAATGTTACATTAAAAGTTTTAATTAACTTTTAACACAAGGTTTATATTGTATATTTTTATTTATCAATACTTTTGTTTTTTCTTCTCTAACACATATACTAAAATTACATAATTAAATCAGTTAAAAAGTAAATTTATAAAAATAATAAAGAAATCAAATTTGTAAAACAACAATGATAAAACCAAAAATAAAATTAATCATATAGAACAAAAGAACTATAAGAACCATTCTCAATATTTCCTTTTTACGATGTACTTCATTAATTTATTTTCTCCATAGCTTTTTTTTAATATATAATAAATTTAGACCAAAATTGTTTACCACCCCTATTTTAAATTGCATATTCTCACCCCATTATTTTAAAGACCAAATTTTGAAATAAAATTTAGACAAGCATGAAAATGATTTGCATGGCATTGCATGATAAAATAACTGTAGTTAAATAATGATTGGTTATACTTAGTAATTAATGGTATATAAATATAAATTATTGGGGTTGAAGTTAGATAAATAAAAAACATATTTTAAATAGTTACATCATAAATACAAAAGTCAACTACCTTTACAACAATTAAATGATTAATAAAATTACTTCTTTCATACAAAAAAAAAACTGATAAAGCTATATTAATCTTGTTTAATGCCCCGGTGAATCAACATGAACACGCAAGGTTTATTCAACGTTTCTTTTCTTACTGTAATAAATTTGGTACGTAAATTAGGTGCATTTTTTCGGTCCATTTTATTACCAACGCATCATTTATCAAAATATAATATAATATAATATAAATCTTACTTCACAGTAGTTAATACGTTTTATTGTTAATATCATATTCATCTACTTTTCTTTTTTTTTCAAATTTAAACATCAAACTATTGAATTCTATTATCGTAAACTCTTTTTACCTAATCGTTATTATTATTGTAGTTTAACAACTTAAAAGAGCCTTAAATAGTATAACTTTTCAACTATAATTATAAAATATGACCAAGAAAAAGAAAAACTAGATAATTAACGTTCTTATATTTTATTAAGTCAATTACCTTATTTATTAGTAAAAAAGAAACATAATAGAAATTATTTAAGTATTATAATTATTTATATATTATATAAATTATAATGATAAACATAATTAATACTCCTTTTTTAAATGTCTAATGGTAGGAGAATGTATCTAATTAAAGAATTATTAAAAAATATTTTATGGATAAAAACTTATTTAAAAAAAAGTACATTATCTTTTTAATAGATAGTTAAAATATTTTTATTCTCGTATAAACTATATTTCATTTGAGATAATGAAAATTGAAAATAAATGTAACAAGTTTTCACACCAACGCTAGATTTTTATTTCACCAATAAAACCTCTAATGTGAAACTCTTTATGTATTAACTAAAACTATTGTTTATAAAAATATAACGATAAATACAATACACATAAATACTACAAAAGATAAAAGTAAAATAATGAATCGCACAAATTATTTTATTAAAAAGAAATTTATATTGAGAAATATGAAAGTTCTTGAGAGATAATCAAATAAATATAATGAAAATATATTATTATATGTAATAAAATCAAATAGGATGGCATATAAAAGTAATTTTAAAATGATTGATTTAAATGTATTTTATTATTAGTATTTAAATTTGATTATTTATTATATTAGATTAAATAAATTTAAAATATTTTGAATTCAAATCATTTCAAATAAATAACATTAAGCACAAAGAATATGTAATATTATTTTAAGTATAAATATATGAAACATTATCTATTATCTAAAAATACAATAAAATCAAATACTTCTTAATGCTCCTATTTTAAATGAGTGATAATTTTTTCATCTGATTTAGTAAAAAAAAATACAAAATTTGTCAAAATGAGTAACATATCATGATTAAAATCACCATCTTGGTAAACAAAATATTTTTCCCTTTTTAAGCACTACCGTAATCATATTTTTCTCACATAAAAAGAAATGTTCTATTAGATCAACTTAAAAGAACTATTTTTCATAAAATTCACTTTTGAAGACCTTCAAAATATACATGCAAAGTAATATTTTATAATTATGCTTATTCTATATATTGTTAAAAAAACATTGAAATCATAATTTTTAGAATAATTTATTCTAATATAATAACTTTTAACAAAAAATTTATGTTAATTTTGTTATAACCAACTTACTTGATTTTGTGAAATTCGTTTATCAAAAGCTTTCATGCGTTTAATCTTCAAACTGTATTCACTAAATGACATGTTTTTAGACAAGAGAATAATTAATTACTTACATTATGAAAAATCATAAGGAAAGTATTTTGCAATGATGAGTTCATAAATAGATAAAAAGAAAATACACAAAAATAAACAATATAAAAAAGATTGACAAGAAATATGAGAAAATAACATATTTTTATTCTAAAAAAGATGACGTTATTTTGTATTGATTGGTATTAGAATTTAATTTTCTTAAATTATAATCTAAGGTTTCTTTTCTAATTTAGACTTTTTGGGCTTTCATTTAGGTAACAAGAACACACAAAGCAAGTAAGGAGAGTGTGGTCAAGGCAAGGAAGTCATGAACTATAATGACTTTGAAATCAAGATTAAATTGAATTTTAAGTTTAAATTTCCCTATCTTTTATTTCATTTAGATTTGAATTTTCATTTTATTTTAATTTAAATTTTCTATCATGAAAGACTATAAATAGTCATTACCTCTATTATAAAAGTATTATTATGACATATGAAAATTTGAGTCTTAAAAACATTTTGATAGTGATTTTGTATTCATATATCTTATTTTAATTTTTAGGAATTAAATGATGATCTTTAACTCTCATTCATCTTAAATAACTTCATTTTTTTATAGTGGCATAACTTCAATCATTTTCATAAATATTCTATCATTTACTTGTTTATTTATTCTCTTTTATTTTGATTTAGTTTTTCTTCTAATCCTCACACTTAATACTTTTTTATTTCCATTTTGTGTTGTTTTTGTGTTTATCTTATTTCATTACAAACATTCACACTTATTTAACTAATCAAACTTGTGTTCAATGACTAGTCATGCAATTCTAATAATTGAGTCTTAAACAAAACTCAAACTATAAAACAAGTTGTTTCTAATTTAAGAAATTTGTCAATTATCATATTAGACTTTATCATGCAATTTCTTATTGTTGGCATCATCGAATCCATAAGTATGAGGATTAGACTCCACAAAATGAAAATGTCATAATGTTGACCAATTAGAATCAACTAATGAGTAATTTGGTGAGAGGTCGTCTAATATTAAGTATACTAGTAAGGTAATTTATTAAGATCGTTTGATGAGGTGAACAAAAACAATTAACATTGAGTAGATTGTCTAATCATATCAATTAATGCTGAAAATAGTTAATTCCTAGTAACTCCTTTGATGATATGATTTAGCATATTATATAATTTTGATAGATTGATGCTTCAATCACTCTTCTAGAAGCTCTTTTTATTTCTAGACTCTTCTCTCTCAGTCATTAGTTATGACTCTTTATTAAGTTGTATTTCCTTGATCCATGATCCGTCACTTTTTTAAGAGTTCATAATTGTAAATTTTATGTTTGATTATCTTATATATAATAATTATTTAAACTTTTTGTTTATAGTTGAATGACAAATTTAGAATATTCGTGAAAGTTAATATTAAAGAATACTTGTATTCTTTATCTTAGAAAAAGATAATAAATTTTTGGGTAGGAGTGACATTGCTTACTTGTATAAGCCATAAGTAATAGTGTATAATATTTCTTTCATAATCAATTTAATTATAACGAAATTCTTTAACAAGAAATGAAAGAGATGTGTTCAATTTAACTAAGTTTGTGTGGACTAATATATAAAAGAAAATGTATTTATTTATCTTTCTATTACATAATCAGTTTTTCAAACTTAGATAAATCTTTTAAAATAAGTTTGATAAAAGCTCTTTTTGTAAAAAAAAATTATAAATTATTTGACTGTGAATCATTAGACATGTACTTATTTATTTGTTTTACAATGGAAAAAAAAATTATTCAACTCTGTTTTGGAATTAATATCACTTGATATCATAATCAATATCATGAGTTTAATTCTTAGTGGGACAACTGTTAAGTGAGAAATGTAACGTTGTTTCATGATAAAGATCAAGTGAACCAAGTCAAATAAAATTTTAAATAATAGAATGCAATATTTGTATAGTGCTGATATTTTGACACTAAAAAAGACAAAAATAATTATTTAACAATTCATTTTTAAATTTTATACTATTATTTATCTATATTCTTTTATTATCTGATCAATCAACCAAAATATTATCATTTTAAGATTATGTTTATAAGAAGATATCAAAATATCTTTTTCCACATTTTTAAGAGAAAAAAATTTATACTTTTTACCTATCAATAAAATCCAACAATAATTACTTTTTCATTATTGTAACTATAGGTGACACACACAAAAAAAAAAATATATATATATATATATATATATATTCAAATCAAATTTCATTTTTACTCATTGATCTTGATAATATTTATTATATGTATTACATGACATATTTGATTTTTATTTTAAATTAAATATTACAATTTATAACTACTTTTTAATCATTTTTTTATAATTTTGATAAATATTTTAATCTTTAACATAGTCAATATAAGTGATAAGTTTTTATAATTATTTTTTTATAAATCATAAACATTTTTCTATAATTATTTTAAATTATTTTTTATTTTTTTCTAAACTAATAATACGAAAAAAATATTACTCTCACCCTCTCTTAAGTTATGCAAAGAAATTATGATGTTTCAATCATTTGATATATGTTTTTCTTTTTTTTAACTTGCAAATAAATATAATTAAAAAAAATTCTGACTTCAGAATTTTTAGATAAAAAACATATAATTTTTTATTGTATATAGTAATAAATACATAAATAAAAACAGACATATAATCAATATAATATAATTTATTTATTTTAAACTTTAAAATAATAAATAAATAAATATATTTTAAAATGTGATTATTTCTCTTTAATATAATTTATTTATTTTAAACTTTAAAATAATAAATAAATATATTTTAAAATTTGATTATTAGAAAGAGAAAAAGAAAAAAACTAGTATTTTTAAAATCGGATTAACCAGATTTAATACAATAATATTTATATAAATTTAATAAAATAATATTTTTATAATATAATAAATATATAATAAATTAATCAGTAATAATATTTTTTTAAAAATAATAAAATTATTAGTATTGTCATTTTATATTATAATATAAATTACAAATATAAAACATACATAATGTAAGATAAAAAATGGTTAAAAATAAATAAAAATAATTATTATTTAAAATTAATGATATAAGATTAAAAAAAACCTAAAATATATAATATATATCTTTTATAAAATAAAATAAAAAATCATCCAAAAATTCAACCAATTTTTTTCTTAATTTTGCTTCAATTTAATTAAAATGCTGTATCTAGACTACTCCCAGTTTAGCCTGCCATTCTGGTATGTAAAACAGTGAGTATATGTCATCCGAAGTTCATGATACCATCCGAACCATCACATCACCCATGTGTTGGTATGTTCACGAGGGGCGCAGTTAATAACTAGTGATCAAAACATAGAAAGAGACCCATGTGTCTTGCCTGCAACCTATCCATACATTTTTTTTTTTTTTTTGGTATCTTCACGAGGAATATTGCATCTTTATCATAAGGGAAAAGAAAAAAGAAATTACTAATATACAGGCTTAGCCATTTTGACGAAACAATTAAATATTGATGACACCTAAGAGTTGCATAACCATAAATGAAATGGAAGTCAACTTTTCCTCGTCCCTTTACACGTAACACAAATTTTATATATTTAAGAGACCTAAAACTGATGAAAACAAAGCAAGCTGGAAAGAGGTGATCCAATCTGCACGTGGGAAAGGGAATTGTGCCACTCCTCCAGTGATGCCAATCAATATTCAGGTGCAGATTCAGGTGCTTTCTGCTGGAACCTGATTCAAAACGCTTAAGTTCTTTGCTGATTTGGTCCTCCATTCAGTTCTACCCCTCACAATTTCAGCACCATCTTCATGTCGAAGCAAGTGTTTGCACTCAACAAATCCACCGTCAGCTAAACTGCCTACATCAGCACCAGAGATATCAGTCAGGGAATCCAGCACACTGTTCCTGCCACACTCCCTTCTGTACTCCAAAGTCATGGCACACAACTCATGACTCTCCAAAAGTGGCTGTGGAGCACTCTGCAGTAATCAAAGTATAATTAATATTTTTGGTTTAATGACTTTATCAGAATCTAAACACAACAAACGAAACAAATAAAACATCAATTGTTTACTCTTAAAAAAAAAAAGACACTAATCAAAAAGGGTATAACGTAAGTAGGACACAAAAAGATCAAACGAGGAAAGTGGCGTTTTATTTCCCATCTACCATGCCAGAGTACTACCCAATTATCTCATGTATCAGGTTTCAAGCCTCTTCACAACCTGACATAAACCACTTTCACACGCGGCAACAAATGCCCAGAACTATAATATAAAATTGAATGCTTCTTCTGTCTTCAAACGACTTTCAGTTGATGTTACTGGAAATCTGAAAACATTATCTTACACAATACTTTCGGAAGCTAAACCTGCATAAGCATTGAAATTCACACCCAGGTTACTCTAAAAAGAACACACTGACAGTTGCTTTGGCACACTGTGGGTGTTGCATAATAACAGTGTCACCATTGAACCTGCCTTGCAAAAGGTCAAACAAGTCCTAGTAATAAATCCCCCATAAATAAAGGAAAATAAATTACTGAATAAATACGAATAATCGAACAGAAGATTACCTCCAGAATCCACCCAATGTACTTCACATTGTTAACATGCTGGTTAACATCTAGATCATTCCATCTGGGCTGAAAATAAGGATACATAATATAATTAGAAAACATCTGAGACACTTTAGAATAAAGATCAATGATAGCAATTACACAAAGAGTTCGCATACACTTAAACCAGTGCGAATGAAATTAGCTGAATCATCAAGTTTGGATAGTTTTCTTTTATCCTCTTCCACAACTGGAGCAGAATCAACAAAATAAGTCCCTATCTCTCCTCTGACTTCTTCGGGAATTTTGGACAGTCTCCTTGTCACTTTATTCATCATGACCCAAACACTGTACAACATCAAAATAAAAATCATCAATCAGAAAATGCTTACAATTTCATAGCACCAAGGTGCAGTATGTACTCGACTAGAAGATTTGTATGTACTTCATAATGAAGAATGTAGTATTAGTGGTTGTGGATTTGGAAATTATCATCAGAAAATCTTATGTCTGCAACTAATTAACTTTATCAAGATTTCTAAAGGCATAAGAAAAGCAAGTTGAATATTTCAATTTTATTAAGAAAAAGTAAATATGATAACACGCACAAGCAGTGCGGAATAACCGGAGAGACACATTCAGATTCAGAAAGACACTTCAAAATATGTCAATAGGAAAGAGAAAAAAGGATTCCTGAAACTGATATCTACCTGGAGGCTCTTGTCAAGATCTCACCCGTTTGGGTATCACGCACAAGCCAATCACGACGCATACCATTCTTCCCAGATGCGGAAACCCAAGTGTCCACTTGAACAACATCACCCCTGAAGCAAACATAGATTTATTCAGTTTGAGATGAACAGAATCCGATTATATTCTCGAACAAAGTGGTATTAGTTGCTTCTTTTGAAAACCAGTTTATGCACCCAACTTTTTACCTTAGTAAAAGCGAAATATACAATTTTACTACTAAAAGGCGCATGACTTCCCATAGTTTATTATATCGCGTCTAATAGACGTAAGGAACAGGACTTCCCATAACTCTCTATGTATAAAACTTGAGTTTGCAGAAGAATTTCAGGTACTTTGCAGAAGTAATTTTATTCACAATTTCAGATTTTGAAAAAAAAATTATTCTCAAATATAATCCATAATCTATTCCAAACGCGCCTTAAATGCCAAGTTCCCAACTCTTGTGCCATTTTTTCTGAAAATGGATGCACAAGTGCAGAACTGAAGATGTACATAACCAGGTATTATGGAAAGTCAAAGTAAAGGTGATGACAAAGACAAAAGAAGATGTCAACAGATCACACCATGGATGCTTTTGCAATTCACACTATAAAAAGGAAAGTCAAACCAACTTACCATTTAGGATACCGATCAACCACAACCTGCATCTTAGTAACCACCCATATCAAGTTCTTCTTACACATTTCAGGCGTGGAGCCAAAACCATCACCAAGAAGCCCCGCAGTCTTAACATGATTAAGTGCTGTCTCCTGTCGTAAAAAAATATAAAATATAAGATAAATAAAATAAAAACACCAACATACAACTCGACTTTACAGGTACTTTTAGAGGTTTGCTACTCTCCAATCAGAATTGGAGTTTTATTTAGTAACATGCATGCAAACATTTAGTACACCAATTATCTAAATAAACTAGTTTCATAAGAACTTTCTTGCTTTAATTCGAATTATTCTAGTAGTGTACATTACAATTTAAATTTGTAATTTGCATGCAAAAAATTATCATACAGATTTCCAATTCAGATGGAAAAGAACACTGGTAAGTTGTTTTTTCAGGAGCTGACCTGCAAATGATTCATCAACGTCTCTATAGACGCAGTTTTGTCGGCGCCAATTTCGTAGGACCGAATTGAGAAGTTCTGTCTGAACACAAGCCCGTCCTCCACGATCTTTCCAATCCCAAAGGGATCCACGAGCATGTCGGGGCGGCGCGGCTTCCAATCAAGCATCATCCACTGCTTCTCCGCGGCGAGGAAGGCGGTGGTGATGGCGGCGAGAAGCATGCTCCAGTCCGGTAACTGGTTGATGAAAGTCCTGGGAGCATGAGAAAGTGACGACGATGATGGCAAATCCTCCTCAACCTTCACGGTGGTGTTAACCTTCGGAGGGGCCTGTGCATTTGCCTTCACCTGCAAGCCACCACATAAACCATGTCTTGGTTTGAGTCCTCTCAAGTTTGCAGAGCTGTCACCCAGATGCTTCCCTTTCCCAGAGTCCGGCGAAGGGACGACAGGGATAAACGACGCCGACACTGCTGTTGCAACCATCGTGAATACCCCTACGCCTGCATGGAAAGTTGTAACATTGTTACGAAAAGGAATATATTAAAATCCAAATGGTAAGGCCAAGCTGTGAGGACATTTTAAGAAACAAAAAACACCAATTGGAAATTTCTGTTATCCAAACATGAGAAAAAAAAGTAAAGAATGTAAGTTATTATTTGTTTTCAAACACCAATCTATCGGTGAATTAATGTGCAATAAATGCTAAAGCCGTGCACAAGTCGGTGCAGATCTGACTTTGAATCTAGAAAACAAAACACCACAAACCAAGATTCACGTTATTAAATGGAAAAAAAAAAAAACTACTCCTACTAGTATTATTATAATTGCCGTAAAATCATGAGTCCCAGTCCAATGCATCGGAATCCACGAGAACCAAGCAGAAAGGGATTGAAATTATTCAAAGCTCGGGTTGTGTTACATTTGAAACCCGAATGTTCCATTGATTTGCGAAACCAAAAAAAGAAAGAAAAGGAAGGTTGGAAACGTGAATGAGCGGTGGAGGTGGATTGGAAGAGAAAAGGAGGTGGCGGGAACAAAACGCAGCGTTTGATATTCATACCTTAATAACAAATGGAATGGAGAAGAAAATAGAAGGTAGAGAGGAAACGGTTAGAAGTGGCGGAGTCTTGGGTGGCGAAGAAAGAGAGAAACGGCCTTCGTTTTCCCGTTACAATCTCTCTCTCCTCCTTCTGTTATCGTTTTGGGGATGGAATCCAAAAGTTGTGGATGTTGTTATGGTATTTTTTGAATTCGAAAAGTAAAAGAGAAGGTAAAGAAAGAAAGAATAGTAATAATAATAATAATAATAAGGCGTGTGATTGTTAGAGTGGCACCGAATTAGCCTCCAGACGCTTTGTTATATACAACCCACCTGGCACTCCCGCCCGCCTCTCTTCTTTTCTCTTTCAAACTTATTCCAATTTCCATGCTCTTCTACTTTCCTATTTACTATACTACCCCTCTGTTAACCTCTTTTTGTCCTATTGGCTTGTTTGACACAGAAGATATTAACAAGATAATTAATAATAATAATAATAATTAGTATGATAATAGGAGATAATAATAACTAAGAAATATATATTTATATTGAATTTTTATAATAACTAATAAAACAATTTCAGTTCATTTTAATCATTTAGATGTTTCTTTTTATTTTAGACGAATGGCTCATTTGAGAGTAACTGTAATGTTTTATTTTTCGTATAATTATTAAAGTATAAAATAAAGCTTAAATTTACATTCGTAAGTACAAATTTTCAATAATTTACATAACTGGAAAAATAATAAATAAAAATTTATTAAAAAATTTGTTAAGTAGAATACCTACTATTTTATTTATCCAGTTAAATTTATCACTTGTCTGTACAAAAAATTCAATAATAACAAATAAATTAATACGATAAAATACAATTATTTTTTTCTTTCTTAATTTATTTCTTGTTATCCCATCTTATTGAATTACTATATTGAAACATGATAAAATAGATCTTTTATTATTTTTTAAATAAAATATTTAAATTATTCAAAAGTATTATAATTTAATATATTATATTTTAAAAATTATTACCTGATAAATTTGAAATATTAAAATTTTATTATATTTTAAATTAATTAATTAATTATGTTTTCGTAAATAAAATTATTTATCATTATTATAATTTTAAATAGTTAGTTTATATTTTTTAATTTTAATGTTGATTTTAAAAAAAAATTACTTGACAAATTAAATATTTAATAAATTAATTACGCTAGAGGTTAGCAATTAAGAAAATATATTTATATTTAAATTATTATAACAAATAATTAAATAAATTTGATTCAATTGTAATAATTTAGTTGTTGACGAAGGTTTATGGCTGGTTATTTTTGTGAGTTAAGTGTAAATTCTCTATTGAACTGCATGAAATATTTATCCCATAAATTATATATATATATAATTTGTACAGATATTAATGTAAAAAAAGAGATATTAAATAATCATATATATTAAAAATAAAAAATAATTTTTTTAAATATTAATTTTATTTAAGTAAATTATTTATCATTGTAAGCTAAATGTAAATTTTTCAATTTTATCATAATTTGTACATATGCAATGCAAGATACATTTTATACTTGGTGTAACTTTGAATTGGTTTGAATGAACCCAATGTAAATTGTGAATTTCAAATATTTTACAAATCTATATGCCTGGTTAAAGTAAGTTATGTTTATATATACCATCATCTTTTCTAAAGGTAGATATTTTTCTTCTTCTTTTGTCGTAATTCTGAGCAACTTCCTTACGTATACCTGCTGTTTTTTCTGCTTAATATATCACAATCAAACAAAGTTAATAAAGACTACCAACCACTTGTCTTGATGTTTTTGGTTTATTCAACGTGTTCTTCCCTTCTTCACACTCTCCTCTCACAAAAATAAAAGACTTCTCCTTTATCCTACTTATTTATTTATTATGCATCGTAATTCTTCTACTAACGATTAATGTATAGGAAAAGTGAAATACAAAAGAAAAAAAATCATACGAAGAAAGAAATAGTTGAATAAGAAAAAAAATTCTCCAAATATGTAATAGTATCATATATTGGTAAAAAAAAAAAAAACACCTTTATAAATTATATGTATCATATACACAATTTAATAGAAAAAAAAATCATTTGAACACGTGCATTTCGTGTTATTATAATAACGGACAAATAATATATGAGTGGTCCCAATAGAATAAATAATATTATTTATGAGATTTTTATATAATTATTTTTAATAGTGAATAATACATTTTTTTTAATAATAAAATAATTTAATGTTTTTTTTTTATAATTGAGTGATAAGGTGCAGTATTAGTGAATTGATTTATATGTAGTATGAAAATTTGGGTAGGTATAATGTTTTAGATAACTGAAAAATTCAAACTATAAAATTTTAGATTCTGACTTGAAAATCCTTGAAAGATTCCACCATACAACCACCATACAATACTTGTGAGGATAAAAATGATAAATGAGAAGAATGTGAGAGAATTACACCAACATTTGAAAATAAGATAAAATATGAACAAAATTGGGTATTTACAGTTGTTCTCTTTACTTAAATTTTATTAAGTAATATGTATGATAAGAAATTTGCATATTATCATCTTAAAATATAAGTAAAGATACGAAAATTGGGACCCGAAAAATAAAAAACTTGGGGCAAGAACGCAAAAAATACAAGAATTGGTGAAAAGAAAAAAAACATAAATAAATAAAAAAGGCGTGAAGATAAAAAAACATAAATAAAGTGAGTTGGAGAATTCGAAACGTAGACTGAGCGTGAGAACCCTAAACATAAAAAAGTGGGTATGAAAATCTAAATAATAAAAGTGGACACAAAGATTTGAAACATAGATTAAGTAGCTATGATGACGAAAAAATAAATTGAGAGGTGCAGAGACCCAAAAAATGAAAAAGTTTGCGTGGGACCTGAAAAAAAAATAAGTTGATACACACAGTATCCCAAACATAAATAGAGTAGGCTAGGGACTTGAAAAATAAATAAATAGACTCAATGACTCAAAATATAAATAAAGTGGACACGGAAAATCCAAAAATAAAAAAGTGTGCTTGGGGATCTAATACAAAATTAAGTAGGTGTAGAAAAAAAAAAGTAAAATAATGAGTGTGGATAAAAAAATTAAGTAGGCACACAGATAAAAAAACATGTATTGAGGGATCATAAGAAACCAAAACATAAATTAAGTGAACGTAAGAACCCGATTAAAAAAATAAATGGCTACGGGACCTAAAAAATAAAAGACTTACAAGGAAAAAAAATTTAGCAAAAAGACTTAATACATAAATAGAAAGTGTGTGGAGATAAAAAACATAAATAAAGTGAGCATGAGGATCTAAAATAAAGAGTGGGGACCCTAAATATAAATAGAGTGATTGTAAGGCAAAAACATAAAAAAGTGAGAGAAGAGACCTGAAACATAAAAAAAATAGGAACCCAAAAAATAAATGAGTGGACCCAAACATTTGAATCATAAAATGAGTGTTATGATGACCCAAAACATAAATTGTGATGTGTAAGAACCCAAAAAAATGAAAAAGTTTGTATGGGGACCTGAAAAATAAATAAGTAGGTACAAGAATCCGAAATATAAATAAAATAGGTATAGGGACTTGAAAATGCTCAAAACATAAATAAAGCGGACGCTGGAATACCCAAAAAAAAAAAAAAAAAGTGTATGATAAGGATGAAAATTAAACTCGTATCCGTGGAAATTAACTTGTCTCTATCCCGAGTTTGACAGGAAAAACTCGAGTTAACCAGAGAGTTTGATAGGAAAAATCCAAGTTGACCAGATGTGGGAGAGGAATTCAGATTTTTCCCGCTTTAAAAAGTCGGGGACTGGGATAGGTAATGCAATCTCTACCCCCGTGTTCGCCTCGACTTTATATTTAAATTTTTAAATATTAATATTTTAAAAGTATCTTTTTCTTTTTATATTACATATAAAATAATTTTTTATATTTCACCATTTTTTTATTTTTTTCTACCCACTTTTTAATTTTTTTTGTCTTTTTTATATTTATATATTTTTTAAATAATATAAATCGGGGAAACTCAAAACTTAGCGGGAATCGGGATAAAGGTTTAATTTTTAACTCCAACGAGAATCGGAGATAGTTAAAAAAGTTGGGACAAGGATCGGTGAGGCAAAACCCGCCTCCTTAGGATGGTAAAATGGGCTAGCCCGATATAATCATGGCGAGCTACAGGTATCGGCCCCCGCCAAAGGGTGGGTCGACCCGTCATATTTTTTATTTTATTATTTTTAAATCAAATCTTTCAATAAAAGAGAGTAAAAAAGTATGAGATATATATGATTTTTACCTTACGAAGAAGGATAAGTAAGAAGAAGATGATGAGTAAGAGGAGAGGAGAGAGAGGGGTTTGTGCTTGAGAAAGGAAATTGTTTCCTATAATGTAAGTTTAAGTAATTATAAAACTTTTTAAATTTTGTTAGTAGTGAGATATTGAGACTTTATGAAGTCTCTTTATGAGATACTAGAACTTTTAGAATTCTTTTTTCATAAATCTTTATATTATATATTGTCTTTCTGACTATTTATATTGTATCACATTAAAAAAATTTATTAATAAAGCGGGTCATAGCTTGGCAGGCTTGGCAGAATGGGCAAAAATGGGCTGATGGGTTGAAAGTACTAACCCGCGCCCGCCATATTATGGCAGGCTGGTAGGCTGGCCCGTCGACCCTGACCTATTTTGCCATCTCTGCCGCCCTCGCCCCCACGGTGTTGCCATGCCTGGTACCCGAGGAATAAATACAAAATTGAGTAGGTGTGGAGACTAAAAAGTAAAATAGTAGGTGTGGGGATAAAAAAATAAATTAAGTAGACATGAAGATCGAAAATATAAATTAAGTTGACAAAATAACCCAAAACATTAATTTGGTGAAAATAGGAACCCAATAATAAAAACACACAAAGAGGATATTTATCATTAATTTTGGGAACAAATAAATAAATATAAAAAGATAAAAAAGACATAAATTATATGAAAGTTATAAAATTGAAGACTGAGTGAAAGAATAAAATAGTAAATATATTAAATTATTATTAAATTTGAAGTCAAAATCATAAATTATACAATAGTTATAAAATTTTAGAGGATTATATCTCCTCAGTTTTCAAAAAGATACGTTATTGTGATGGTGACCTAATAAATAAAAAACTAGGTAAGGGACACAAAATAA